GTTACCGTCGGATATCCAATAAGAAGACAGGGGCTGATAATAAGAACAGATGCCAATACTTACAATCTATGTCATAGACAAAAAATTACACCTTATACAAAATTTTACAAACATAACAAGGGATATACCCCAAAATACCACATGAGCAAGCATTGTCAAAACAAATAAACAGAATACAACAGAAGAAACTGATATAAAATGTGGTAACCAAGCTACTATAGTGAGAACGATAACATTGTGATAAACCTGATACAGGCTTATACAGAGCACAAGCCTCAAACGTAAATACACACAAAACAGAAATTAAAAAAAACAAACAGATACAGTAATCCCTTACCTTGTTTATTTACAATTAAGACGAAATCGCAAAAAAAATTTCAAAGATACTTAAACACGAAAAAATCGACACTTCAACTTGGTTACTTTACATAAAAAAGAATAAGCTAAAAAGAGCAAGGTTGACCGGTAGTTAGTAAACTTCTCATAAATTATCACGGAACAATTTTACCTTTCTTCTTTACGAACTACTTACGATTCCTAATGCTACTATACTATTTAGGACTGCTGGCATTACAGCAGCCTTTTTACACTCAGAACTTTCCAAGCCGATAATTGTTCAACCTTAAGAAAAATTAGTTAACTTCCAAAAGATTTGAAAAACTGAAACAAGAATAAGGGGTTCCTCACGATAAAAGGTAAATAATAATCTCAAGGAAGTTAATTATAATAATAAAATAGTAATAAGAAATAACTTTAACTACAACTTTGAATTTTAAATTTCAAAGTAATACTATAGGTATCTCCTTAAAAGCAACAAGCTCTACCGAAAAAATCACTATTCTATAAGTACTTTGCTTTTTTTTTTTTGAGAGTATGTGAAGCAAAATAACACATAATATAAATAGTAGACAGGAAATGCATGCAAAAAATAAATTATTTACCGCACAGAGCTAAATAGGTGTACACATGCTTTTCTAAATAATAAAATGGCGCCTAATTAGCTCCTTAAAAAAAAACAGTCATTTGTTGGGATAAAGAGCAGAACCAATTATTTAAGATAAGAAGTATATCTTTTCACTACAAGTCAGAACTAAGAGCAGGTATAACATGAGATTATATGACAATTTATAATACTAAAAGGGTATTAAAAAGTGACGAACTACCTTGCTAATAAAGTTTCTTAAGTCCAAATTAGCGTTTAACTATGACAGGGATTTTAAACAAAAGAAGCAGGCGTGGTTCTGTACGGCCTCATTCTCAGACTAATAATAGTAAGACACAATAGTTAAAATCGGGCCAAAGAATGATCTAAAAATAAAAAAAATATTGAAAAAACAATAAAATAAAAAGGGTTTATAAAAATTAGAGTCAAGTAAAAATTGAAAGTAACAGAAACATATTAAGCTGTGAAACAGTCAAATAAGAGAGAATTTATAATTCTTAAAGGGAAACAGCGTTAACTAAGGCCCAGGGAGAAATAAATAATTCTATTGAACTGTAAAAAAAAAACCAAAAAGGAATTAATATAAATATATCAAATAAGAATAACTTTACAGATATATCAGAAATTTATACCGTAATGAAGTCAAAGGATTAAGTACAAAAACAAAACGACCAAAGCTAAACACCCCTGGTTTTCTAGAGTGAACGATCGTAAAACAATAACTAAGCTAATGTTACTTAATTTTTATTTGCTTGATAATAAACTAAATTCATACAAAATTAAACTGTTAACTAAGAAATATAACTCAAAAAATTAATAAATAGAAGAAGAAATAAATTATGGTTTAACATAGATAACTTTTTAATTACCTCAAACTGTTAAGTTAAAAAGTAGCTCGACTTTAACTCCACTGTAACGGCCAATGGAAACGTCATATATGTGACCTATAAAGGTGTTGTTAATACTCTCGGACTAAGGTTACAAGCCCATCTTTGCACAAAGACGTTAACGCTCATCCTTTGTCATTTAGTAAGCTTACAGGAAATGGGTAGACTGTCCAATTTAACAGCGATAAAACTGGTCTAATTAGTAGGAATTACATGAATAACCCTTTCTCTATTGATACAAATGTTTGGAAATTAACAACTTCTGCTGGTACTGCATTGTTTGAGGAAAGCTTGGATATGTGGCATCGTAAACCAGGTCATATTTCTGAGAAAGTCGTTCTTACTATGGCGAAAATAAATAGGTTGGTAACCTTAATATAATCCAAAGCCTATCTATTGGTTCTATTTGTGAACAAAGCCAACTGGGTGAGTGTAAGAGATCAAAAATGTTTTAAAAAGACGAAGCACAAGGCTACTAATATACTTGAAACTTTACAAGTTCATATATATCCTCGAACCCATCAAACCTGCTGCAAGGGAGGTTATACATATGCTATATGTTTTATAGGTAGTGCTTATAGGACACTTGGTATTTGCTTGAAATATAGGAGTGAAGCTCCCCATATAATTTACACTTTATAGACGCTATAGTAAAGTCAGTAACTGCGGCCCCACAATGAGACAATTTTTCGATCGGTGTCACAATCTATATTTTATACTCTTTACAAAAGAGTAAATACCACTATTACATACGCGAAAGCGCCTATACTTACGAAATTACAAAAAATTATTTCCGGTGCCATAAAATATGTATTCATTTAAGGTTAGTATAAAATAATTCTTTTATTTAGTTTTCTCTAATATTTCAGTTAACTTAGCTGTTTCAGATTAGTTGAAATTCTTAGTTATGATTGGTCAAAATTTGGAGATTAATTTAATAATTAGAAAAATTTTGTTTTTGTGTTAAGATTTATGTTTTTTATTTTGTATTTGTGTTTCAGTGTTAAATTTTTGTTGTGCATTTCGTTTAAGTATCTAATTGTTTTATAGATTACCAATTATTTTTGCTTCTTACACTTTTCGAGAACTTTGCTAACCATGGAAAATTGCTGATACAGATTCAACAAATCATTATCATAGCGTCTTATCAAACCTACTTAAATCAACCTACCTATATTACTGTATCGATGAACTATCGAAATTAACCGCTGCTCCAAAAGAGGACGTCCTTAGTTGAGTGCAATTAATCAGTTATAAGGTTTCACATAAACCATGAAAATATAAGTTAAATGGCGTCAATGACGAAGACTTGGAATAATAATCATTATGTATATATAGTGTAAATTTCAACAATAAAATGTAAATTATGAGATTTCTAAAGCTATACCGAGACAGAAGGCGCCTGATCCTGGTGATATCACCAATGTGATTTAAAGCAATTACTCATGGTGGCGGTAGGACGTCTATGCTGCCTCATTAACTTTATGGTGGCCCTCGGCATCTTCTCATTGCGCTGGAAGATTGCAATTGGTGTGTTGCTCCAGGAACACCAAGACCAGCACCCACGTCAAGCAAATACAGGCCCATGAACCTTGTGTCAGCCGTAAGCAAAGTAGCTGAAGCAACCATACTGCGCCGCTTGAAAGCGTTGACGCAAGCCACGCCTTGCCAGAGTTTTATTTTGAATATCGATATGGACACGCATCAGCGGTTTCACCTGACAGCGTAGATGACTCGAGTCTTTAAATCAAGCAAGGCAACAAGCGCTGTTTTTCTTAGTGTCGATTAAGCTTTTGAACCAACTTTAACACAAAGACTTGCTTCACAAATTGTGTGCCATAACTTTCCCTACTATTCTTTTTAACTTGATCAAATCTGAACTAAAAGACCACGTTTTCGATGCACGTGTGAGCGATGCGACCTCACTATCAAGACCACTAAGAGCTCTATTGTCAAAAGGATCTTTTCTATCACCCCTACTCTCTCCACTTTATGAATGCGATTTGTTCCAGCCTGACGACATTCACACCCGGATTACCTCATACGCTGATGATGCAATGTTTTACTCATTAAATTCGCCTGTGTTATTGCGCCAACACCTACAGTACAACCTAATGATGCTTGACCAATGGTGTCGTCGTTGAAAAATTAGTATTAACGCGAATAGAGAGAGCCCTTTCTCTTAGGAAAAAGTGCACTGCCCCATTCCCGTTCCTGACCTCCAAATTAAGGTAATACCTTGGTGGTCACAAGCGATATACCTGGGTCCTTGTGGACAATAAGCTTTACTGGCAGCCGCACATATATAATATCGTGGTGACGGTCAAGGCGGAGGTTCAGACTCTACCCCTTTCTTTGTGCTCGAAGCAAACTCCGGTTGCACAACAAAGGACTCTTGTAGATGTTCTATATAAGGCCAATCACGACCTATGCTATCTATTGCCTGGTCTTACGACTCACCAGCAATAGTCTCTTTGCTTCAAGTGAGACAAAACACTTGCTACGCCTTATAATAATAATAGTTATGTCATCCTTTTAACATAGACTTGAATTTTATAAAATATACTAATAACAGGCGCTACACCCATGTCCTAGCTTGCGCCTTTATGCTTTAATTTTTCTCATATACCTCGTTTTACTCACGCTCATTTTAACTTTTTAAGGTTTTCATTTCTTGTTTTTAGTTTATAAACTCTCTTTTCTCTTGTGCGCAGCTTTATTCTACTTGTGTATTAACTCCATTATTGTTCTAAGCTTTATTAATTTTCTATGCTATTTCCATTACATTTTTATCCTTTATTTAGAAGTTTAACTGTGGGGCGTCCTTTATCCCCAAAGAACCTTACCATTTTAGGGTTACAAACCAAAATGTTAAAGATTATTAGTTTAAATCCGCTTACGAGGAAATGCGTTATTTTTTTAAGTATATTATATAAAGCTTAAGATAATAGAAGATACATAAACTTTTCGTGACCTTTTTTTTTTTAGATGTGTATAGTGGTAGAGTTCAGCCACATATGTAGAAATGCTTTATTATTATTACCCTAAGTCATCCTAAACTCAACGAATCAAAAGGTGCGTTTGGAGGTATATGATGTAAAATCACGCAACGCCCGAATTATTTATAGCCCTCCAATATTGCTTTCAACGTTTTGATAAGTTTAATGGCGATGTCCGGCGTTGCCTTCCGGGTTCTCTTTGGTTTGGCGTGGCTCTTATGGGTTATAGCGTTATTGGGAGCAGGATCGATGTTCTATTTTCCTTTTGTTATTTTTAAGGTTAATATTATTAAATTTTTTATAGTTAAAATAAAATTAATTGTAGCTAGTAGAGCAATGAAGAAAGTATGAGCTTTTCGATCATCTATGTAGCTCAGTCACGGCCTGCTATTACTAGTTTAGTAACATTATCTACTTGTATTATCAAGAAAGAAGGGCATTCTATCTTTGAATATTTAAACCGTAAGTTTAACATTTTACTTTGATCCTTATTTTTCTTATTGTTTTTATCAGCTTCACATACCCAGGAGTACCAAAATTTTTGCACGACTTATAATAGGGGTTTCTTATATTTGAATATCTTTTTTTTATGAGCTGATTGTTTACCAGAAAGGTGTATGTTTGGATCCCCAAGTTTTTTTTATACGCAGATTTTTTACTCTTTACCTTTCTTACTCAGCTACTAAAATTTATATATTTAACTTAGCGGAAGTGGAAGCGAATTTTTCAGATGTTTTACTTAATTTAATTTCCTAGGTATTTACCTTGTGGGAAGTTCTATTGCTGCTTTCCTTTTAAGCTTTTTGCTTATGAATACGTCCTTGCTCTTACCGCCTTTGGCTTACATATCTTCTTTTTTGGGGTAATTTTTTTTGAATCGGATTGTGTATTCCGAATCCTTAAAGACTTTATGTAAAAGGCTGTGCGGCGTGACCCTCAAATTAATTTGGTGGCAAGTGATTATAAATCCGCTTATAAAGGGCCCTTCCTTGGAGCCTCAAAGCTTTTACTTGATCCCCGTCATCATCGGCTGCACGGCTGCTGTTGTTTCTATATTTTACGCCATTGCTGCTAGTAGAGAGGCAAAAAGCTCATATTAAATATAAGTACACATTTTTAAAAAACATTAATAAAATTTGCTGTAAAGCAAGTTGCATATCTTTAAAGTTTTACTCTACTACTACTTCTAAATTAGTATTGTAAAGTAAGTATTACTAACACAAGATTTATGTGCTAAGGTTGGCGTGGCCGAATTTTTCTAGGTGACTCGAATTTATATATAGCCCTTTCCTATTACAAACTTCTAAAAATTTCTAGGAAGACTGCTATTAAATATATTTATGAAACTAAAAAGTTAATAGAAATTTGCTCCTGGAATAAATTGTCTAACATACTTAGTAATTGTAGGGAACACTATTACTAGCTAGTGACTAATAAAAAGAATAGTGAGAGATTATCTACGAAAAGCATATCTATTAAACTCTCAAAACTGGTACCTTATAGTGGGGCATATCGGGCAGGCTATTGGCCTTTGAATTCATGCTGTGTAGATCTTGCTTCAAGTCTTCAGATATTGTTTGTAGTAAATAGTTAATAAAAGTTGATATTTAAAAACTTTAATACACAAAAAAAGGAGAGACTTAATTATAAATATCGCTATGAATATTTTACTTTTTTTTCTCCCTTTTAATTACTATATAATTAAAATTTTTATCTACTCAATTTTATTTCTTATCAAACTTTTTTTCTAAGTTTGTTATTATGGAAGTCCAACCCCAGGTGATAACTCGCATATATACAACCTAACTTATATCAGAAAATACTAGAAAACTAGAAGAGTGCTTAAATTTTATCGGTAAATTTATTAAACCCAATTCACACCAGTTGTGTATAAGGAACGAAGTGGCGAAAAAAAAATGTTTTGTCAATCGCTATTAACTTCAACATATTTGGAACTGTTTCCTTGATAAAAAATGAAGGTTTCCACTTATTTTTTTATTACAAAGCAGCGACTATTCAAAGAAATTAATAAGAGAACTCTCGACAATACTAATACTCAATTATTTATTAACAATGAAAAAGTCCCTTTCCTTGCAAAAATGAATTAAGTTTACGACTTTACTTAAAAACCTTAATATAAAAATAATGTTTAAAACAAGAAAGATGTAAACTAAACCAGAATTATACATCTAGTAAAGCAGTATCAAGCACTTTACAGATAGAATTAAAAATTGGAATAGCTATGGAATGCTAATTATTATGTTAAACAACTTATAGATATTTAAAAAATATCGTTCTTTACTACTATTAACAAAAAAGAAAGAATCATATAATATAATCTTTACAAATATTATGAGTTATACCTTAAGGCGGGTGTAATTCTTTTAGACAGCTTTTTTTTAATGTCCCCAAGAAAACTAGTGCAACATACAAACACATTGTCATATCTTAAAGTGGTTGGTTTCACAGGCTATAAGTCCTCGAAAACTTGTATATTATAGGCAGTGAAGTAATATAACATATATAAAATAAAGTATATTTGCTACTTATTGTTGGTTTATAGTGAAAACGGGAAAAGTCTGTGGAGATAGTTGATCTGAAAATGGTGCAAGTTCAAAGGCTGGGCCAAGTTGGGAAAAGGTGAAAAATATGTATAAACTATGGCCGGAAAAGCAGCTAAAGTTGGACAAAACCATGTAAGAAGGTTATAACAAAACGGTTAAACCTGCTGAAGATCTTAAAAGTAGGTGACACAGCGTACGTGATTATAAAAGGTAATAGATTAGAATACGAACGTTGGAACGGCCCTGCCAATATACTAAAAGTTCTTGGCCATAGCAAATGTAGGATTCAGCTGGGTGGATGAAATAAATTTTGTCATCGTAATCAGCTTAAGTTAGTGAAGGTGGCCCCAACAAAATGTAATTACAGTATTTAGGACGCCTAGGAAACAAAATATATGTGACTCAGTTTTTTAATTTCCCCAGTAGAATCTGTTGAAGAAATAGAGGGATCTCTGACCCTGTTCCTAATACGGAAGGGACGCACATGGCTTGATCAAGCAGCTACTCTCAAAGATGGGTGGATAGATTTTAGAAATGGAGGGAGTTTGGACCCTTTTGAAGTGCCTTCTGATGAAGAGGTTGAGCAATACAAGACTATAATACAAAAGCAAGAGCGAACTTTTGCACCGAATAGATCACGTATAATTACTTCGTGCCGACATTTGAAGGTTCCGCAAAGCTTTTGTGAGATTTTATGAATCTCAAAAAATCAATATATTCCTAAAGGCTTCTAATCCTTTATAAACGCTTTTTTTCCCCATTAAATATAGTTTTAAGGCTATAAGGCTGTAAATGCAGCATTAAAAAATGGTACAAATATTATTTATGTTCACTACACCACAAATTTTTGCCTGAATTTTATATTTAGTGTAAGTATTACTATAATCTTACAGTCTTGCGTGGGAGCAAATACCCAAGTATATAGTTTTATTAACATGCACTTTTATAGAAATTTAATAATTCTCTTCCCAAATTACTAAGCTGAATACAGAATAAAGTTGTTAGTATAAAAAGTCAAGAGCTCAGGAAGCGCTGAAGAAAGCCATCTACGAGTAAAATCTTCCAAAGTACTTAAAAGAAATTTCAAGAGCCACAAATGAGGTTCAAGCAAAAAAAAGTGTAAAAATCAGAAAGAATACAATCAATATGGAAAATATCTTAATCATTAGCCACCGATTGCTAGATATACTACTAAAATAACGCAATAGTTCCGTATGAGCCAAGCTAACATTTTCTTCTGCGTAGCCAAGATTGTGATCAATTCTATTATTTTATTATAAAAAAAAAACGTTAGCAGTAGAAAAATTTAACAAGAAGCCCACCTTTCGAGATCAGGCATTTGCTGGTTGAGAATTTCGCCGAGCTGCTGAAACACGCCTGTAAGTTGGTGGAGTGTCTTAGAAATTTCCTCTACGGCGCTCGCACGACTGTCCAAGTAGCTTTTCTACGAAAAGTGGGTTACGAGTAGAGATTAACTTTTTATTTTTTTTAAACACACGCTCATACTTTTGGGGAAGCCAATAGCTGAGCGTCTGCGAGTCCCATGTCGATGGCGCTAGGGGAGTCCTCGTGAGAGTAAGGCGCATCCAAGTAGATAAAGCGTTGATCTTCGAGGTCAGATTGAAAATGAACCGTCAAAAAGGCAGAATAATAAATTCAAAAAGTAGCACTTGATAACAATTTTATTATAAGCTTTAATTTTTTTATAGGAAGGAGTAAAAAAGATCCTTCGTGGAATTTGCTAGTAAAATTTATTGCTAAAAAAGGCCGCCACCCCAAAATAATGCTCACGAATTATTATATATATCATAGTTAAAACTTTTATATATATATAAGAATAATTTCCGAAAAAATAAAAGATGGCTACATTTTGATTTGAAAACGTAGTATTGTTTAATTTTTATTAAATTTAAAAATTTAAGTGAAAATCTAAATTTCATATTTTGCGTTCTTTAAAAATACCAAGTTCATAAATATAAAAGTTTTATCAGTTGATAAGCTCACGTGAACATCCTTTTTACTTAATAATTGTATAAAAGTAAGTGAAGAAAAAAAAAAGCAAAAATTTGAGTCGACTTTCAGCAGAGATTTGACAAAATCTTTGCCGTTTATACAAATTTATAATAAAATAGTAAAATACAAACTTATTTTATATAGAACAAAGAAGCAATTAAATTTTTTTATATAATAAATTATATATAACAAAAAATACAGTTAGTTCGAAAAATCTATTTATAATCTAAAAAATTAATAAAGAAGAGAAAATATATGAAAAACTTAATAGCCACAATTATCAGGAAAAAAATCTATATAAAAAGGTATAAATTTTGATAAGTTTTTAATTGTGTATATACGGTGCTTTTGAAAGTGTTGATTAATTTCGAATAAATAAATTATAATTATTGATACTAAAAAGAAGCCAGTTTGAAACAAGAACGCGAACTAAAGAAAGATATTTTATAAAAGATTATAGTAAGTAAATATCAATTTTAAAAATATTAAATAAATTTAGTAAACTTATTTAAATTATTAAATTTAAAAGCAACTTTAATTTTATAAAGAGGCCTAATTCCATAATTAAAATTTAGTAAGAACGTTTGCTTTGCACAGAAGAGTATATCGGCGATAACAAATTCCTAACCTAACAAATCCCACAAACTACTACGTAAAAAATTTAAGTAAAAAAAAATTGTTTTAAAAGTTATTATTTACCAGTTGCACATCCTCTTAAAAACCACAACTAGGCATAACTATATAATTATAATTTCTATAAGATATTAGTAATAAAATATGGTAATTTAAAACCAACTTATCAGAAGGGATTTATAAATTATTAAAGACCTCCAAACTGACCTCGGTGGCGTAACTTGGAGGACAAACTTGACGCTGCAGGGAAAAAAAAGATTTAGATTAAAAAATCAAGAAAAGTTAGGAGTACTTTATCGTACCGGGTGGCGAGAACTGAGTACGCCTTTCTTGTTGTCTTCTAAGGACCTTGATTTAAAATTATCAGAAGTAGTGTACAAAAGTTATAAAGTAAAAATACCTCCGTTCGAGATTCTAAAGTTTTTTTAAAATCGACCGAAAGGCTGCTGACCTGATCCTTAAGGAATGCAATTATATTTACCTGGTGCTCACCTTCCTGTTTGCTATGCAAGGATAAAAATTAAATGCTAAAACGTGTGACTTTTTTTTTTTTGTAACAAAGTAAAGTGTTGTCAGTAAAATATGAACAGGAACTTCGGCGTGCTGTGGATACTTGCATTACGAGATTGCTGCAGTCGCAATATCTGTTGTGTAAGTGCTACATAGGAAGTTAGCATTCGTGTAAAAAAACTTAGCATATCTTTTGTTACAAGTGAGATCCTGATTGATAATAACAGTCAATTCCTGAATTTCCAATGGTTTATCGTTAAATAAAGTTAGTTTCGAGGTAACTGTTTATAAAATTGTAAATAAACACTGCTAATGTTAAAATATATTATAAGCTTCTAAATGAACTTATTTAAGGGGGTGACTTACAACCTTCTTATAAAATAGTATACAAAATGGTTTAAACTATAGAGTATTAAAGAGTAGTAGGAAAAACAAGAAAAATATATAATAATATGTAATATAAACTAATTTTTACTCTTTGTAAAACTTTTGCAGACAAACGTGCAATTTTTTTTTTACTCAATACAAATAAAGTTACGTAGTTTTAACTTCTCCAGTTTAGAAGTAGTATTTTCTATATCGTCCCTTAATAACTGGGCAAAATTTTGAAAACTCAGCTCTTTTTTGTCTGCGGAGTGTATATCTTGAATATTATTTTCTGGATTTGTTACTCCCCCAGAAGTATTGCATGGTTTCAGAGGGCCTTTACTTTTTCTCTGTGTAAATAGCTTTACTGTAGAAGAGAACTCATTTGTTCGATCCCTAAAGGTAACCGCAGAATCATCGACCATAGTACTCCTTGATTACGGTCTTTATGCTTTGGAAAGCGATAAGCACCCTGGCCTCACTTTTTATCGAAGGATGACTTCCAATACGACATACCACCAAATCGTGGATAATTGATTTGGTTTTACTTAAAAATGGCATAGCTTTGCGCTCGATCGACTCAACAAATTTCGATTACGTAGAGCTCCCTATTGTATATATATATTTTTTTAAAACAGTCCTGTAGAATTCAAAGGTGTTAGTTTCGAAAAATAGTATATCATAGATAAATAAAAAACAATATAGGAAAGTCGATAATTTATTTGAAAATCTTTAACTCCCTTGAGAACCTTGCCTAACCTTAATTCTAACCCTAATTCTAACCCTACAGAAATTAAAAAGGGCCAAAGTGTGCCAATTCGATTATAAATTGCAGTCTATATCCTCGGGTGGCTAACCCTATCACATCCGTAAGTATCTGAAGAAAATAATGCTGGGTTCGCTTAAATTTTTGATTATTATGTAGAGCATTATGATTGACTAATAATACTGGCATAAACTAGGGGAAAAAGGAATACGAGGGTTTAGCTTACCCCTCTTACGGTGCAAATTAATAAATTTCATATTTAAAGTTATTAATTTTTTATTTACTTTTTGCTAAAAAAAAAAAAAGTAATATTAGTTATTTTGCACATTTTTTAATGATTTTATAGAAGTCCACTCCATTTAATTTTCCTTTTTAAAAATAACTACCTATATGATATTAAGATGTAATTTTATTAGATAAAATGAAAGGTCTTAAAATTATGATTTTTTTTTAAAGGAATTGTCGAGCCCGTGTGCCCTTAGAACCGAGCTCGGCAGAAATCGTTAAAATGTCGGCTTCATAATGTCACGTGGAAGTAAAATTATATTTAACAATTAGATGTATACATTTCGTAAATTTACAAGTGTAAATTTTAATGCAGATGTTCGCTATCTAGAAGTTTCGATATGCTTTGCAATGGAAAAAAGGCAACCTCTGACTTCAGTGATTCATCGGTAACCATATTGCTCTTCTAAATTCGTTTGTCTTAGTTAGACACTACAGATCATAAATATTTTGCTCACCGTAGCGTTAGCAAGTAGTAGTTTTAACCCAAGCAACGCTTGTCTTTACCAAATATATATATCCACGGTTGAAGTAAGTGGTATTAAACCACGATTTTATTAATCCTCTTGAATTGTTTGCTTGCCGAATTATTGTAATCACTATAGGCTTGGTATTTAAATGAGTCAACTTTAGCAGGCAGTGTTGATCTTTGCGTAAAAAAGGTCTAATTAAAGTGGAGGGCATAAAATATATTTTTAGGTAATGTAAACCAAGTAGCTTTGGAATACTTACTCACGTAACCGGGAAAAACTAAAAATGAACCGGATTTAGCGGCTTATATGGCCACATTTTTTATTAAATTAAGGGATCATTCTCTAAGTACGGTGCTTAGCCTCTCCCGCTTTGAAAAGGGTTTTATGTTATTTCACTTATTTAAAAACTAAATTTTACATTTAATAAAGTTTAAGAAGCGTGAGCAGCGGATTTTCAACTGGGGGAGAAAAATAGGTCCGATCATCTTATATCTGTAGGGGAAGATTTAGAACTTCGGGGAAGCCAAAGAGATGAGAATATGTAACATTCGTGTAACAGTGGTAGCACATGGCATAATAAACCACCCGGCACGTTATTAATATTTCAGCGTTAACTTCAATACATATTGCTAGATAATAATTATCATAATACAGGAATTGTTACCATATACTTCGCACAGTCGATGTTTCATCTTGTGTACTGAGTCAGGCCAATGCTAGTTTATATATTACTTGTAAAGCTCAATAATTTTTAACTACTTGGGAAGGGTGACTGGTCGTAGTTATAATAGTAATAACGGTTACAGTAATAATAATTGTAAAATAATAATAGTAATAAATATAATAAATATAAACAGTAATAATATTAACTATTGTAGCAGTATTAATAGACTTTATTCCAATGTGATGTTTATACCAGATAAATCATAATTTAATAATGTTATCTTAGTTGCTAAAATATTGATGTTTAAGGCATCAAATAACATTTTTGTATATTATTAATAAATTATTTTAACTGGTACCGCTTCTATGTTAGTCTTACATATATCAATTCTATTTAGAAATAACGCTTGATAAAAGTATTTAAGGGTACAAGGTCCAACTAAAGATAAGATACGATTAAGCTTTTTTTATATAATTAGGACTGGAAGTTCATATTAACATATAAATAAGGACTAAAAAAATAATTTTGTATTAATAGAATATTAGTAGTTTCTTATTTTATTAATAATATTTTGCTATCTGCACCAGCTGACTAAATTCTTGTAAACAACCTTCTTCAGGTTAGGCTTTATAATTATTATGTCTACAAGCTAAGGAAATTCGAGCTGTGATTTGCCTGTGATTTGTTTATTGTAGTAATAAGCTGTATAAGATAATTAGAGTTGCTCTTTGTTGCGCGTAGTTTTTTAAGGACGACTCGAGGGGATGGGAGTACTGCAAATGTCTTATTAAACTTACAGCTATTTGGACTTCGACCATAATTAATAGACTTGGTTGAGCAATTATGTGAGCAGCCTGGTTGACAATTTTCTATCATTGTCTTGTTGCTTAACTTGGTCGATAAGCATTTCATGCGCCGAAGACAAATCTTTAGTTTAATGACAAAGACAGGGTTCTAAGGCGGCTTACAATATTGCTCTTTTTTTACTCTTTTCTTTAAAATATGAATTGAAAAAGATGAAAGTAGTGAGCAAGGATAGTTAGCTGTTGCGTTACTTAAAACTTTACCGCAGCCATTAATTCCTCGAAATCGAGACCTTTTTGTAACGATTTAAAAAATTTTTTAGGTGCATGTTGACGTCCTATAATTTAATTACTTTTTAACTTTACTGCATTTACTGTAAAAAAAAAAATTTTATTTTTCCAATGATTAATAATAATGTAAGTTTTTAATTAAGTGCAAAAAATTTATTTAGTTTCTGGTGTATAAAATTTTTTTATATAATATCGTGTTTATTTGTGGTTTCCCTGGGATAAATTGTTTAAACAATCTTCAAGTTTATTTAATTTTTTTTTATTAGGTGAACTAAGAATAAATATCTAGTTATAATTTCCCTTTGATGACAACAGTTCGGCAACTAGCGCAGAAAGACAAGGTAACTGAAGGTAGATAATCATTACATCTTCTTTAAAATGTTCCGCGTTTAAAGGTCGACTATCATAATTAGGTAGGGCATATCAAAAGCGAAGGATGCGAAACTTTTATAGTCAGGGGCGCGTCAAAAGCGGGGCATAGGGATTTTGGGATAAAGCTAGAGCACTTAATAAAGGTCCGGGGGGAAGTTGGGGGGGTGTGTGAGTTCTCAGTTTGTGGTAAAGAGTTTTTAAATTATTTTATAAATTGGTTCCAGTGGTTTCCCTAAAATTAAAAGACGCAGTCTTTTACTCTGTCAGGGATAGAGTTTGAATTGTTGATAACATTTGCTGATGTTTGAATCAATACTCTTGGTTAAGCAAAGCGAGCGTGCTGACTGCTGATAGGGGTTTGAGCGGTGAATTAAGTAGTCTCACGTTCCTTGGCCTGGGGTTACGCTCGAATTAAAAAAGGTAGTAATTTGATATTGCATAGGAACAGGCTATTAAACTTTTATGACTGCCCAACCTCCAAAAAGGTAGCCAGCTTAAGCGGTTAGACTGTCGTAATTTGGAAGAAACTCGACTTTAGTAGTGTTTCATCATAGTTTCCTATTATATATTGAAGTCTCTAAGAGAGGTGGGAAAAGGATAGTCCACGTTTTATATAGCCAACAACTTCTGTTTTTGTCGTCGGCATTAGAGAAAAAACCCTCAATAATGGTGCGGTCGCCGCCTGCGGTTAAGGTCCTTTAGCTACTCAGACAGCTGTTCGTGGCGGTGGAGCGAGTCTACTGTCGCAGCGTCACAGTGTCTAGTAGAGTGTTGCCAGTAGTACAGCGTGTGAGGAGTAACTGTCAAGTGCAGTCTTAAGGCCGCATATTTTTTAGACTAACAATGTCTAGCACGCGTAACATGCCAGGCCTTGCCAAGCGAGATGGATACTGAGAGCCGAAGACTCGAAACCTGAGTCGGATATAAGCTTCGAAATGCGGTTACTGCTTTCTGTTTTTTCGTTAAAAGCTTCATCTAGAACTTTTAAAAAACTGATAACATTAAAAGAGTTGATACCTAAGAGGGGTAGTGTTTTCCATTGGACTTAAAAGTTGCATTATCAGACAATGCCCCTTGATCTGAGAGAGGTAGAGGGGTAGCTTAACTACAACGATGCTCGGTAAGCTTAAAAAGATATTGGATGGTGTGGGTGTTGTTAAGCTTCCTTTAGCCAAAGTGGCAAATTTTAGTTAAATGCGGTGCCGCTTTATCCAATATTTATTTTTCGTCCTGTTAAGTTCTTTAAAACCTTCCACTTCCCCCAATTCTTTATTTCTATGTATATTGGATATATACTTATGAACGGACACACTAAAATAGCATTATTCGCAGAAGCTGCTACCTATTTTCTCTTTTAAAGCTCCTACTTTAAAATTTAGAAGAATTTATCAATTTCTAATAGAAAAGATTACTTAGACGAACAAAAACCTTCAAACATACAACACTACCAATGCATTCTGTCTGTCAAAGCTTTTAAGAAAGCGACAGGGGAAACAAAAATAAAGTGAAATTAGATTAAGCAAAGTAACTTTATTGACAGCTTTTTGTGGTACTAATTAATGTTATAGGCCAAGATGTTTTTAAGGAAATTTCTTTTTGAAAAAGGCTCTGCAATGACATATTTACTATCATGGATAGCCTTAACAGCACATCGGCTATCTAAAATATAAGAAAAAAAGAAAACGTAGCCATTCATTTTCCACTAATTTCTCACCATTTTATATGTATGGGGAGATATGCTAACGGATGTGTGAGTTCAAAGTGCATTCTGGGAACCTGGGAGCGCACACATTTGCAGGGTTCGTATGTAAGTTCTTGAGCCCACTAATGGTTAGAAAAGCACGTTTAAAAGAGACAGTAGTTGCATTTCGGGAAAAAAAACTTTGTCTTTTAACCCCAAATCCTCATGCGACGTGCCATTATGCACGAGTAAGATGAGTTGACCCCAGAAGCTTGTTTTGTTGCGTTTTGCAGGAGGGCAATTCACGTAATTTTTCATGTGTCCAAGAAGCAGAGGCGTAGACCACTGTAGGGCGCACGCAAAAGGCGGAGTTTTTTATTATGAGAGACACTGAACTTTTTGAGCTCAACAGCAAGTAAAGCGCATGGGCGGCAGCTTTGGTCTTAGCATCAAATTTTACGTGATTCCGCCAAGTTAGTCGCTAATTAATAATGACGCCCAAGCACTGGGTCTGAGAGTCCTATTAGCTACTATCAACTCAGGGTTAGAGGCGGGTAGTGTAGCGCATTTTCTCAAGATGAGAATTGTTTCGCCTTTTCAGTTAATGGTTGCCCCCCACTGCCGGCATCTGTTGGCAAATGTTTTCCAGGTAGCGTTGTAAGTGTTGCCGAAATATTGAAGGGCTCTTAAAGAGCGCGTGTTCTGCAGTGTCGTCTGCGTTGAATGCGATAAGAGTGCGAGAGTTCTCAAGGGAAAGCCTTGTCACCGGCTGTCAGTCGAAAGGATGACGACAGCGCAACGCCAGTTCTTTCTCGAAAAATGCGTTGTCTTAAAATCAACGCAAGTATGCTTGAAGAGTAACGGAGTAGCTATGCACATTGTTTGCGTGGGAAACGACACGTGAATTTCTAAATTTGAATCTCGAGTTGTTCTATCGTCGAGTAACCTCTACGAAATATAAATTAAGCTTTTAAGAGACCTTAATGTATCTTTATAACTCTTCCAAGTGGTTACTAAAATTAGGTTAATGGAGCAATATTCGCAAACGTCTTCTGGAGCCCCTGGAGGCTTTGCTTCACAGCTATGGCTACTGAGAAGAGTTAAGAAGCAAAGCAGAAATTACAGGACAGGAAAGATACTTAATAGTAGCTGAAGTCAACTTTTTAGCATCTCATTAGTAAGACCGATAGGGCAGGGTGTTTTGCGTCTCGAAGATCCAGAGGCTATATCGGTAATTTCTTTAATTGTGCTCGGTTTAATAAGTCTCTCAACAACGGTTGTAATTTTTTTTGCCATCGTCTCTATAAGTAGCCGAAGTTGGAGGTCTACAATGAGCGGCTAGTTGGTGGGCAATTGGCAGATATTGAATCTGTGGGCGGTTTTAATTCGTTTAACAGAGCACTAAGAAGATGAGCGTCCTTAGTCGCCACTGCGCACAAGTCCTGCTATTTTGCTTCCCAGCGACTATTGTAAAAAGCGGTCAGCTTTTTCTGATGTGGCTGTGAAGACGATTTAGCATCATTTTGTCGTTGAGTTTTCATGTGGCAGCGACCAGGCGTATCCACCAGGGGCGTTGACGAGTAAGGTTTATTAAAAAATTAGGTGATTACCTGGGCGAATGCGGGCAGCCCTCATTTAGCCATTAAAATTATAAACTGCTTTATATATACATATGTATATTGAGAAGAGTAAGTGAAGTTTATTTTAAATATTTCAATTTTTTTTTATTAAAATGCAAAGCATAAGGATACTTGGGTATCGTGCTTAACCACCACGAGGGTTAATCGCACAACTTTCTCTGGTTAGGGATTAGTAAGTCTTCATGGTCAACTTGTGGCAGGGGGATTATTGCTTTTTTCCTAAAGGTTTTTTATCATTTTCTAGCTTGATTATATGTTATTACGTTTATGATTAACCAAGATTCTTGAATTTATGCCTAAATCATATTTTTGCGCATTGATATAAGTTTAATATTTAAGCCTTTACATTGAAGTGTTTACACCTTTACTATGTTTCCTGAAAAAAAGTATACACCCGAGTATTGGGCCGAACAAGCTAGAAAATTTGCCCTTAACAAAAAGGAAACGCAAAGGGATGAGAAGAAAAAAGTTACACAAAAACAACAACAAGAACTTTTAATTAAACCAACTCCTATACTGCCAACTCAGACGGCCATTCACCATAATTTAATAAATAATATTTCTGCTGAAAATCACTGCTTTCAAAAGAATCCTGTAACCGTAAGGCCCCAAACTCCTTTTTGTTATGTTAACGCTGATTATAGCAATTTTGGGCTGACGGCATTCCCTGTAAGCGCACTGGGAAATACTTCCCCTTGGATTAAACCACCCTTTCAGGCTCCTTCAGCAAATTCTGACTTTCCTTCTTCTCAGAGCTTTCAATCTATAACGGTTAATACCTACCAGGATAATTATACGCAACCCACACAAGGTAATCCTTCCGAGTGTACTCCATCTCAAAAAGACTATTTTTTTAGATCAAGTAATTCTCTTATTGCCCCGTCTACCCCTTCCCCTCTTTCTAGCTATGTGCAGTCTTTACCTCCACAACCTTTTTTAAATAGAGAAAGCTACTTTAGCTGTGTAACCCCTTCTTTTCCACCATCACAATATCCTCCACATTTACAACGGCCCCCTTGGCACAACTCTTTGCAAACGAGCCAACTAGAGGACCAAAAGTGTCGCTGGACTCTTCCGCAAGCCCCCTCTCTCACAGACTCTACACCTTGGCAGAGATCGCAGCTTTCTAGCTGTCCACCGGCCAAAAATAATCCCGAAGAGGTGAAATTGCAGCCGAACTCAACCGGAATGCTGTTTCCCTCTGCTTTAAATTCGAACTCCTACCAACCAAATTCAAACGCAGTATCGTCTGTGAGTTATGTTTTTTATATATTTTTCGTTAATAAACAAAATTATTTCTGAAAAGAGTAGATCACTAAAAAACTTCCCGCATGGCTTTCGGAAGCTATTTTGAAAAACCAGCTTCAAAAGGAAAAGGATAAGTTGAAATTAAAGGTCGAGCAGTCGGAGTTTGCGAAGGGCGTTGAGGATGCCCCAATGGTCCATGTAACCACCTTAAAGCTACTGAAATTTAACTTTTTAAAAGTACTTTATAGGATAAAGTTGGCTCCTTTGCGTCTAAATTTCACAGTGACAGCGAAGGATCCACCGAGAGTGAAGAGGTAAACGAAAAAGATGAGCTTCTGCCAGTCACTGATAAAAACTACGATACGCTCATGCCTTTTATGACAGAGCAAGAAAAAGAACTATTAAATGTACTCCATTGTATAATCGAATTCTCTCTCTTCATAAATATATATATTAATAGCTAAAAAAGTTAAAGTGGACTGTCGGGCACATACTGACAGCCTTAACTGATTTAGAATTACGTAATTTTATAAAAAACGTTATGTCTTTAGAATACATAGAATTAGTAATTTTTGTGTTTTGTTTATTAAGATAATATTGTAAACGAAAGATTGAAGGAGAAAAAGATTTGTGCCGCTTCAACTACTAGTATAGCTGCTATGCTAGGTGAGTGTTCCAGCAATCCTTAGAGTTAAACATTTTCTTTCGAAAGAATTTAGGGGATTACAATTCGGAATCTTCGGGTTCCGAACTTGGAACTGAGGCCAAAAATCAAGTTTGCCTAACTGACCCTCCTTTATCGTCCAAGGAGGACCATAGCGGAAGCGAAGAAAGTTTAAAAAAAAGGAAGGAAGAGAACAGGAAATTTGTGGAGGACAGTAAACAGTATGAGAGGGGGGCACAAGTTGCCGAGGAAAGGTATAAAGAGAGAGATAAATATAAAAAGCGGAGAAGAAGCAGGGAGCGATCTATAAAAGATCGAGACAAAATCCGAAGAGACAGAAAACGGCATAGATATAGAGAAAGAGATTCTAAAAGAAAAGAAAATAGGTGAATTCTATAACTTAAACCCTAAAAAGTTTAACTAAACTTCGGCAATCTAAACGGTGAAGTCAAGTACCATAAGCAATTGTTACTTGTTGGATTTAATAAATGTGTAAAATACTGAAAAGGTGTTTTTTTATTTTTAACATAATAGCTGGCTGGTATACAGTTAACGGCCGTAACGTTGAAATTCCCACTCTTGATTGTCCAAAGGGCAGACCTTATAATTAGGAAAAGGAGCAGTGAGGAATCGTACTTTGTTTAGCTCCTAACGCAAGAGAGGATAAAAAAAAAACCTCACGAGTTTTAAGCCATTTTGAGATGCAATGAAAGTGAAAAGCGTGCTTAAAAAGGCATTGTAAAAATCAGATAAATCAATTGTAGGGTGTATACAAATATTCAACTTAATGACTAGTTAAAAAGTTTATGAATCTTAGTAATAATAACTTTCAGCAAGTAAATAATAAACTAAATTGAAGGTACGTTGCACACTCCCCAGGCTATAACACATTCTTGAGCAGTTGAAGAGGTTTGGTTCGCCTGACACTCAATACAAAGTTCCATTGTATGATTGCGACAAATAGCGCAGGTATCGACGTCAATGTCTACAATATACGGGGAAGAAGTGTAAAATAATTAAAAAAAGGGCGTAATCATAAGTAAAAACCCCAGCCCCACAAGGCTACTGCGTTCCATTTTTTAATCTCAAAACGTTTCTTGGTTAATTCTTCCGAAGTGCGTAATTGAGAAGTGGGGTCGACCTCCATAACTGCTTATTGAGTTGCTTTTATGACACTAAAGGAATATAAAGTGTTCGAGTACAGGGTTCATCCCTCACATTACCTAACCCCTTACTAATTTAATATATTTATACCGCTGACATAGTACCTACGGGTCCTTAACTGCTTTATAAAAATTTTTCGAAGTTTTTAAGGATTATGATTGTTAACCTCTGGAATCTAATGTTATTAAATATTTGCTCATTTCGCCTGAACATCCCTTTGATTGTCCGGCGCTGGAGGCAATGGGGCTATAATTCGAAAAAAAAAAAAAAAAGCCACCCACGGCCCCACTACCCTTACTAACTGTTATATTTGCGTGATATCTCTCGGCTTTCTACATTCCAGTTTAGAGCTGCCTTTATAATAATGAAGAGAGCACTTATTCACCGAAGAAAGTTTAAACAGAACATTTTTCAATCTATCTTAATAAGTGGAAGTGCTATAAATTCAGCTAAAGATACAGGATTTGATTCCACGAAATTTACGTGTTTTTTTAATGAGTAGAGAACTCATTAATTCCTTCAGTTCGCATGACGAAGGTAATTTAATCAATTTTTTTATACTGTTAACTTTCGTTAACATTTAATTTAAATTTATTGGTCACCTTTTTTCAAGTACTAAGTTTTTAAGTAGAGTTATTTTCTTGCACATATAAAACTCAAACCCCATAATAACGATATTTACTAAATTAGAGCTTTTACCATTAAGCCCATAATCCAGAGATTAAAACTTAACCGAAATATGATGTAGCCTTGCATCAAGCGCCGTACCTATAGTCTCCTCTCCAATACTTGCTTTCTAGTGGTTGCTTACGACCTATAAATGAAACTCCACACCTATGATATATATTATCTAGAAGCGTTCGTGTGCCAGTCGGTCTAGTAAAAAGAAGTTGCTCTAATAGTCAAAGAAACTCTCTTGATTAATTTCTAAAAATGACTCTACATACTCTTAAAATTTGATTATGCTATAAAATTACTACATATTTGCCTAAAACTCCAAGCAGATCTTTTTACCTAACTAGAGTAAGATGGATACTACGGATATTTAATTTTAGTGACAGTCGGGTGGATGTGCGCTCAAAAAGGAAGTATGATGTATTTGTACTTTATTAAAGAAAAATTTTAGTATTAAAGTTAGTATTGCAATCAAAGTAAAGCTTTTAATTAGGTTATTAGTGAAAGTCAATTACTTTTATAAAATAGTTTTAATAAAAAGTGTTCTCCTTGACTATTGATCATCGTAAAATATTGGGTTTTAAAATGGTTAAAGGTCTATTACCGAGTCAGAAATTTAAGCTTAGTATTTTTTTTAAATAAATGAAATTAATAACGAAGCATCGCAGGTGCCTTCTAAGCTGTGACAGAAAATTGCACGCCATTTACCAAACAAATCTAATACGAGCTTTTTTTTGGAAGTTAAAAGGGTAAGGCTAATTATGCCATCTTCCAAGATCGAAGAGTTCGCGCGTCAACGCTCTTAACCGCTGAGCTACGATGACGACTTTCAACTTCGGGTATAATGAATTTACGTAAGAACCCTGCTCCTTTAAGGTATAGTTGTAGACATTTTAGCATAAACTAAGCAAATATTAAGATGCGGAATATTTAAACATTACTGTGGAGCTCGGAAGATATAGTAACTGGGCACCCACAATAATTATTGACGGAGGAGACCATATCGATTTTATTACAATTATAAGTAGACTTTTAACTAAATAAAAATTTTTTTTTAACGAATAAGCTTTATGGCGAAATTTTTTTTTAGTGCCAAAGCAAGGATAATCTTGGTTTTTTTTTTTTCAATAATTTTAATATTTCTTGTCAAAAGTTTGGGTAACAAACTTTTTTGGCCCAAAAATGTAAATAGCTCCCGTTAGCCAGATATAATTTTTAACTACCACTAGACTACTTCAAACAAGGTTGTTGCTACTAAATAATCTAAGCATTTTATAAAACTATGACTTAAGAAGATAGATATAAATGCAACATACTAAAACTATCTAATTAATTTTTATTTTTGTAGTAAAGCTTTCTGCCTACTTTAGTAGTTTAAAATCTTTAAGGCTATATTTAGTAACAACGTATTAAAGAAATTTTAAACCTTTTGTAAAAACAAAGTAAATTCATATACTATATTATAGTAAGAAATCTAAAGAAAGAAGTTCATTTTACAGAAAAAATTGCCTATATTGGAATTTTAACAGCTAAATTTATATTACTAATTAATTCTCTTAGTTATGTTCTATATATTTTTATGAAACATCAGAAATATCATTTAAATTCTAAGATTTAAGTTGTAGTAAAGTTTTTTGTTAAAATTTTAATGTTTACCTGTAGTAATCGAAAAAATTTGAAGTAGCCTCCCTTTAAATTTAAGTTTCGGTGATATTAAAGCATAAAGTATAGTGAGAGAAATAATTTATTCTTGAGCATCGGTAAGTTATTCTTGCACACTGACTTTTACTCTTTTAATGCTAGAAGAAATTGATTATAAGGTTATAAATACTACGATTGCAAGCTTTTATAACTTCTTAAGTAGTTATAAGTAGCGAATTGCCTATTTAAAGTTAATAACCGGTTTATATTGTTATAAAAATTGAGCTAAATTACTAAAATGACAATTTTCCGTATATAGCAATTTTGATCTTTAACTTTCTTTGGAAAGCAAGCTAAAAACGCGTCAAGCGTGAAATTAATTTTAATGAAACCTAAGTCTACTTGTGGTGAAACTGAGGCTATTGAGTTAGAATACGGTGACTCACTTAAGCGTCGGTCTAATTGTATTCTATCGGCTAAAGGTTAATGATTGCAATATAAGGCACCGATAAAAATTATTTAAAAGGCAAATAAATAAGTTTTTCTTATATCAAAGGTCTTGGCCCTCCTGATCTTTGTCATTTAACTAAAACTATAGAAACTCAATCGTCACTAATAAAAGCAACATCAGTACAGCAAAGCATTGTAGGTTGTTTTACTTTTTAAAATTACCTTTTAACTTTCACAAAACGCACATGAAATATTGTTTACAGGTACTTACCACCACATAGTTGGACTCGCCTACAAAAACCCCGCTGATGTCGCCGCATACATTACTTCTTTAGTAAATGAACAGCAAAAAACAACAGTGACTGTTTCAAGTAAAAGTTTCTGGAAGATACAAAAGGCTATTTATTGTAAAATAGTTTATCTGTATTTGACAATATCAAATGAACATATTCTTAAGCAACCTAAACGAAGTTCTAATAAATTTTGATTAAAGTTAATATTAAATTCTGTACAGGCTCATATAACGCTTTTTCGACTCTGGATGTGATAGTTCAGATAGAATTTCCTGGGACGGTTAGAGTGTTTGTAATTGATTTAGACGGTCGCAAGTATGAAAGTGACGAGAATAATTGGAGAGAGACTTATGTATCAAGTGTGCTACGCTATATAAATAAGTCAACTGCTTCCAACGGTTCCGTGGATTGTTTGCGTTCATACTCTCCGCTAAGTACATATGGTACGTGTTCTTTAAAAAAAAAATTTTCCATAATATTTTTATTTTAACTTTTTGTCTAAAATACCATTTTAAAAGTTGATAGAGATAACTTTATACAGGCCAGTAAGATTTTATTTTGGGAAGGAGTACGCTTAGGATCAACGCTTAATAACTTAAGAACCACAAACTTAAATAATGTTTTAACAACATCCTTAAAAGAATTTTTTTTCAGTACATCAAGCTACATGGAATGTATTACTTATTTTAGCGATTTAGCTCGTCGCGATATCGAACTAAACTGCGTTCTTGCTGAGGTGGTTAATTGCAGTAAATAAATTGATTATCTTGATTAACTATTAATTTAGTGTTATGATTGTATGGACAATACTACAAAGGCTGTTTGTCTACTAGCTCATACACTTCTTAGTTGCGATATCATAATAGAGTACTCTCCAGAAATATTAACATTACAGTCACAACTACTACTGAAAGGTGGTGACCTCGAACCAGCTCTAGTTATAGCAAAATTGGCTGTGGAAATAGCACCAAAGTTTCCTAAGTTTCTAAGTTAGAAATAATATTTGTTATAGTTTTAAAAAGATATTTTACTAGATCATGGCTGAATTTGGCTTCTCTCTGCGTTAAAAATTGCGACACTGAGACCGCCTTGATTGCTCTGAATGCCACACCCATGCCTACTTCCTGTGATTATGAGCTCTCGAAACTTAATAGTTTAAAAAAACCAGAAATTATTGGCCGAAAATCTAAAAAATGGTGTGCAGAGAAAGAGTATGGAGATTTTATTCTAGTTAATCTTCCTTCAATGAAGCTTCATGGTAACTATTTCATCATATTATCATTTAATCTATGTTCTGCACAAACATTTAAAAGGTCTTTTCTTAAAAGCTTACGAAGTCTTAATTCAGATATGGGAAGCTTGCTCATGGGAAACTCTGTTGTCCCTCAGGTATAAGGTAAAACAAGGTGGCATTTTACCGTGAACTTTTATTATTAACTCTACTCTAAGTAAATTTGTTAGTTTTTTAAAAAAAGATTGACAACTAGTTAATAGCCATAATATTAATACCACTTCTTGCTAAACCAATCCTTCTAAATGTAGTTTTTTGAATAAAACAAGATTTTTTTAACTGAAGCCGAGTTAATCGACGAAGACGTTTGTATACCCAAAGAAGGCAACACTGACGCGCAAGTTGCTGAGAGCAATAAACACGGTCCTTTTTGTTTTAAAAAAACTCTCATAACTTATGCCTCCTTCATTGCTGGTATTTCTAGAGCGGTACGAGGTTTCCGCTCCAAAAAAGTATTTAAAAAGGCCAATAAAAAGATGGTTAGATCAACTTCTTCTGGCCTTACATCAAGATTTGACATATTGTAGAATCTGGGAAGCTCGTGAAAAGAAACTTGTAAGCTAATTTTAGTTAAAGCTATGATTTAATTTTTTTAAGTTTTGCTAACAGGCTACTGCTGGCTATGAAGATTCTAGGACGTTTGGAGACTTCGTGCATTATGCAAAGCTTAACCAAAGACTGCAACGCAAAGACCAGGCCTATGACCTCTTGCACAAGTCTTTAAATATAGGTATTACTTTTAATGTTTTACATCGAAACCTTTCAAATTTTATTAGTTACTTAAAATCAGTAGCTTTAAACCAAAAGTTAATTTTACTTAGAAAAAGTTGACTAGATTATTGATTATAGAAGAGACCTATCGATATAATTATAGATCTAACCGCTGATGAAATATCAGCAGCTACCGAAGTTAGGGTTTTATATTAAAGAACTTTTAAAGAAACTTTACGCATTCTTAATAGTAGAAAATTCAACGTGAAGCTTTTCTATTGAAGCCCGTCGTGCAGTAGTTCACTATTTAAAGCACTAACAAATTAGCCATAATTGCGGTTAACTTTTTACTAATGACGGCGCTTCTGAGTATAATGATTTAAATTTAAATAATGGTATCTCTAAGAGTGCTTACAATGCTAGTACACAAGCTTTAAAAATGACTAGCGGCTTTCCTATAACTAGTTGGCTTGGATTTACTAAAGTTTATAGTTTTATAGACCTTAAATATAGCAAATTTACCCACCATACAACTTGTTAAATCTTTTTTTAAAATTTATCTAAAACTACAGCTTTTTAAAACAGTTTAATTACCGCATTTGAATCGTATAGCTCATTTACTACTACAACTTTAGTTTAAAATAACAGACAAATAAGCCAAAAAACGATACACACACATATAAATGTATGTTAGACACATGCAAACGGTATAAGTGCATATAAATACGGAGGCTTACCGCAATTGTTGTGCAGAGGATTAAAAGACACATTGTTAATTAGTAATAACTTTATAAGGGTTTTCACACGAAGCTTACCTCGCTTTACTACAAACCTACTCTGAAGATGGCTTCATTGAAGAAAGTATTAAAATTGTCCGCATTCTAGAAAAATATTATGAGGATATTGGAACTTGCGTTCCTTTTGAACTTTCTAAATCAATTTATAAACTGGTGGCAAAGCACGGATTATCTAAATTTAATCAAATTGGTAAGGTAGTTAATGAAGATAACTGCTTGCAACAAAGCATAAAAAATATTGTAAACTGGAAAACATTTGGGTACGACAGATAAACGATAAAAAAAACTTAATCTATACCTTGTAGAAATAAAGAATTGTTTAGTTTGTAATTTTTCATATAGAACTGGTAGGTTTTTACCAGCTTTTTAAAATATTTTAGTTTCGGTAAGCACTAAGAGGTACTCCTATTTTTTTTTTTCAAAGGAATCTGTCAAATTTACGAGAGTTTCATAAATACGGAAATTTAAATACGAAGTGTGACTTTTAAGTTAACATAATTGCGGCTTACGATCCCTCCCGAAAGCTGTTAATGACCTTTTTATAAGCAGTCCTTCTGCTGTCTTATGCGGAGTCTCAACTGTAAGAACCCTTAAAGGACAACCGAGGAATTGCGGACTAAGCGTTGTTTTATTATACAGCGAAGACCATAAGTACCTGGCACTCTTTTCATAGTATTTTTTTACTCTAGTAAGAGTAATTAACAACCATGAGGTAAACGCGTTGTGTACCGCCTTTTTAAAAAAATTCACCTATTGATGAGGATTAAAGTTTTCTACGAACTATGTAGTCATCTGCAAGTTTTTTTTGTGTGAAATGGGTGACAGAGGAGAAACTGACGACCTTTGCTTGAACCTTCATGCGTTGGAATAATTTGTGGAGGCCCCCGAGATGAGCCTCGAACCTTGCTCGACGCTACTGACGATGTCCGCCTTCTAAAACATTGCCGTTGCCAAATTACAGGCGATGTGTCGTAGGCTTACCAAATTACCACGACGGCGCATGTAGTCGAATGCGTGCTAATTGCCAGCCTGAACGAACTTAAGGCTCTTCTCGCGAGCTTCGACGTCTTATTTGCGTGACTACAGAGTCGCGAAGCACTTATGTTAAAATAGAGCTTAATTGTCATCATCCACCATGGGAGACCAAGTTAAGCCCCATATTACAGCAAAGCAGGATTAAAAGGTCTTTAAAGTAGAAGTTAAAACTGGGGAAAAAGCTTCTAGGTAATAACTTTTTGAGGATTCCTTGGTAACCAGCCAAAAAGTCCGAAAGGCGACAAAAATGAAACGCAATTAATTTACAAATTTATGAGTAATGCACTAGTGGATCATATATATGTAAATAAACAAAAAAACAAAAAGACCGTTTCTTAAGAGAAATACCTGGCATCATTGACAATAAGCTCTCGTGGCGGTGGCACGTAAACTATATCCCCGGCGAAGGTCAGGGCGGAGGTTCAAACTCTACCTTTTACTGTGCCGTAAGTAAACTCTCGTTGCAGAACGGGAGACGCTTGTACACGTTATATATTGACCAATGAATGACATGCGTATTGACTACCTGGACTTACGACTCACCGGCGGACAGCCTTTTCGCTTCAAGTGGAGACAAGACAACTTCTACGCTTCTACCAGGCGCGTTGTGGTTTGTTCGAGAGAAGTTCGGGAGAGCCTTACATTTAGCCTCCCAGACACAGTCCCTTCTACTATTTTTTGACGCTCCTTTGGTCGGTTTAACCCCTTATAGGTTTCTGAATACTATGTTTACCACTTGTCGCCTAGGTTCAATTTGCAAGAGTAGGTCTATGGAAATTGACCCTAAACGACAGACTCGGTCCCTGAGACAATCTCTAGTAAGTTTAAGTACCATGTTCCAACGGATTAGGCAGCAACCAACAAAATATAAAAAAGTGGTAAAGTTACCATTGAACGTAATACTAATCTTTTGTAAGCCCCAGATTTTTTTTGCTTGTTAAAGAGTTAATAAGCACACCATTTGTTTACTGGCTCATAAGCTTAGTTAAAAAACATGGAATAACGCACACTACAGCCGACCGCTCAATGGGCATTGAATTTGTAATAGGGGTTAGGGACAAATTGATATAAACTATTGTTCAAAATTGTTCCTATGTTTAAATTTCTTCGTAAAAATTCTATAACGCTTTAATTAATTTGCTATATTGGTCCCTTATATATATATAAGTTTAGATTGAGATCTATTTCATGTAGTTTGTATTAGGGGATTGCTTTCTTACTCAAGTCTTTATCGCTTATTAAAGTTTAAGTATCGATTGAAGCAATTTTGCACGGAGAGGGATCACGTGCAAAATTATTAAATTATAACTTTAAGAACTTTTCATGGTCACTCCACCATAGGGGGGGGGAGGGGTTAAATCGTGTAAGTGACTATAAAGGATAGCTTATTTAGAGAGCTTAATTTAATAATGCGTAAAAAAACTTTCAATCGATAAAGAAATGATGTAAAATGTCTTTTAGATCAAGGCAAGTCTTATACTGAGATCGCTCGTGAATGTGTGTCAGTAAGGCCACAATATCCCGGATTAAAGCTAATGTGGTCCAAATCGTCCGTGCAGTGAAACTGGGCATCCAAAGATCTCGAAAAACCGGGATGTAGCTCGACTTGTAGACAAGGTGACATTTGGTGCAATTGAGTCTGTACAGAAAAAAAGCTTTAAAAATTATAGAAACAACATTAGATAGACCAGTCTCAAGATCGACCGTATCGAGAGCAATCTATTCTGCTGGTCTTCATTCGAAATATAGATTAATTAAACCCACTTTGACAGACCGTTAAAGCGACTAGGATTGGAGTTTTGGAAGAAGTACGAAAATTGGTCAATTTCTGAATGGGAAAAATTTTTTCGGACGAGACCAAGATCAGCCGATGTGGTTCGTATGGTATTAGGTAGTGCTGGAGGCGATCCAGCGATAATCGAGTGCTTGAGCACCAGGTGGTGCAAATGTATAAACATGGGGGAGGATCGATTATGATTTGATCCTGTATAATATCTAAGGGAGGGTCGAATAATTGGAAAAAGTGACAGGGAGCATCACCTCAAGCACGTACTTAGATTTTAAGGATGGCCTACCCAGAACATGCGATTGATATGGTTTTGGTCTTGGTGAAATGGTTTTCAGTAGAATAATGCCCCTCGTCACACTGCACTAAGGTACGATCATGGCTCCAATTACAGTCGTTGCAAGTTCTAGACTGGTTCCCGCAATCTCCTGATCTCAATCCAACTAAGCGTGCATGGGGGCTCCTAAAGAGAAAACTGGGCTCATACGAAGCAGTTCCTGCCAACTTGGTCGAGCTTTGGGCACGTGTACAATCAGAATGGAAAATATAACACCGGATTAGTGCTACAATCTGATTGCCAACAAGCCAAAGACGATACAAGCTGTGATTTTGGCAAAAGGGGGCGACACTAATTATTAAAACCTCATTTATTAAGTTAAATTTTTTTTCTACGCGCAAAATTGTTTCTATAACTTTCAACTTTACAAGGTCATACCTTTTCGAATATTAAACCAATTTAAGCTCAAGTAATAAAAAAAAGTAGCTACGACATAGATGTTTACTGCGTATGAAGTTCAACGTAATCCATTACGATGAAAAGTTATTCTATACTAAATGAAGAAATGCAAAACATTGAAACAATTTCGCACGATAGTGTTCATATATGAGATAGCTTTAAATTGCTTAACCTAAACCTAACCGTTATCGCCCTGTTGAGGGCTCGTGAATTCGGTGTTTTCTTTCTGACCCGATCGAGCACCAGAAAAAGCATATTCTCCTAGTTGCACTTCTCTGTGTTCCGGCTATTTGTTTCATTTGACATGGATTAAAAGTTGTTAAAAACTTAAACTAAATCAAGTTATAAAAACCAAATTAATGAGAAAATTAGTAATCTGAAGGGTTGTGGGAACACCTTAAATAGTATTTACTTAAAAAATGACTTAACTTAATATCCTGAGCTAAAAAATTAATAAATAAACCTTTTTTTTAAAGTGAATAGTGAGGGGAAAAACGAAAGAAAATAAACCAGAGCTTTGGATACAGGTACTATTAAGTTCGTTGTTATCTTCAAAGAGGTTGTTAGCAGGGTTTAAATCGATTAGTAAATAATTATTTGTCCAACTAAGTTGAGGGTTTACATTTGGTGTTCTCTATAGAACACTAAAAAACCCATTTCACATTGAACTTCTAACACGATAAGTAATCATTTAGAGCAATTTTTTTAAAATAAATGCGTCAGCAAGTACTATTTAAAATAATATGTTCTTAGTTTTCTTGAAAAATAGTTTTAAATTATGGAAACCTTTGAATAATTCTTGAAAACTTCGAAAATTTGACCTAAAATATACACATCTTTCACTGTAAGACAAATCTTAAACCAGCTCACCATACTGGGAACCCAGACCATTGTAGTTCAACAAGCTTCGTCCATCCACCTCGTAACCTGTTTGTAGTTTGCTACTATAAACTATTTTTCCATAATCTTTTTCTTGTTTAAGAGAAGATATAATGTGAGAATAAAATAACCGTTAATTGAACAATTAAAAACACGTGGGCGCTAAAGAAAACAATAATCTTGCTTCAATGTTGCATGAAATAATTGGAAACGTCCGCTACTAAAAAAATGGTGTAGCCTTCTTACCCTCTTTTTTGTCACTTATTGTTCATCATAATACACATTTAAACTTTTTTATTGGGAAAATGTTGTTTAGCTTCTTTGTGTTATCCTTTATCCGGCCAATCAAGACATACGCCTTTGTTACTTGGGTTTACGCTCCTCAGCAATAGCGTTTTTGCTTCAAGTAAAACGAAACAAACTGCTACTCATCCTGGGGAGCGCACCGGGTTTTGTGCAAAACGTTGCTTTACATGAAAACAACTGTTTGAGCCAATGTCTACTATTTCCCCACAGAAACGTTACCACCACCTACACCGCTTACCACGTACACAAACTATTTAGGGACACTAAACTAAGTTACAAATAATGGGACGGCACGCTCTATTTCCGTCCCCAATGGCGCTTCAAATTTTAATTTGTATGTCAGGGGGCTAATAATAAATCAAAATAAAGCGATTGCAAAATTTCAACTTATATATTTTTTTACGCGAGAGCACGAAAACTGGGTGTATATAGACACGATCCAGAGAAGGTAATTTATATATAATATAATAATTTTAAACCACTTTACAGAAATGTTCTAGCTATATATTCCATTTCACTTATAATCCAGCGGGGGCACACTAAGGCGAGATAGCTTCAGCGATTTAAAATTTGCTTAAGTGGCGAGAGGTAGTTTGCTTACCCTTTTCACCTTAATGTTTTAGTTATAAGCTAATAGTTATTCGGCCTATTTATATTAATATATATATACGTCAACTTATAAGTTGTCAGCGCCTTAATTAAATTAAATACAGGGTGTTTTCTAAAAGATGAACTGCACAAATTTGTTAGATGACTTCTTTATCATTTATTTCCTTTCACATATAATAGTTACTGTTTTTTTTGACTTGCAAGTTATTTTGCCTTCTACTCTTTATCCTTATAAACTAGTCGAGCTTGTTGACAGCTACGTAAAGTAATATTTCATTAAGTTATATACTTTATCTTTATCTCAACTCGACCTTTTATTTTTTTAGGAATTTTCAAGACCCTTTTCTAAAAAGTGATCTAACTTGGTTTAAATCCTTTATCTATGTTGAAGCATTATTGCAGATTCCCTTTCTCTTTGTAGCCTGCTATGGATTTTATAAGAGTTAATTTTTATTTATTCATTATCGTTACAACCTTTACTTTTATTTTACTTTTACAGAACGAAACTGGGTTAAACTTCCTTGTATTGTGTACTCTACTCATGTTTCCACAACTTTAGTCCCTATACTAGCCACCATCTATGTTACACCAGGAATAACAGTAGAACATAGAGGCTTTTTAGTAAATTTTTATTTGACAAGATACTCTTTAAAATATATAATTATCTTAATATTATGTAGATGGCAATATACGGGATTTATTTAGTGATACCACTTTTACTATTCCTACGTATGACTCTTCCCAGGAGACCTTTCATAGAAGTTCGAAAATATAAACTACATTAATTTTCAACAAGAAAAAGTTAAATAAAATTGTGTTAAATTTATTTTTTAACTATGGCTACCTTTTTAACAATAATTTATATTTCGCTTTTTAAAACATTGCGGAAGCTTTCGATGTGTGTCGGTAATAATTTCTGCCAATACACTTTAGTAGGAATCACTTTAACAAAAGGAGATTGTTGTGTAGCTAACTAGTGTAGAGTTGATCCTGCTTTCAGACCATCAAAGGAAAAAATATGTGGTCTAAGGAACTATCCTAGCAAAGATATTAGACAAAATACCGTAGGAGAACAAGTACGAGAATCTGTCCTCTTTTGAAGATAACCGGTTTAACAAAAGTCCGCCCTCAAATGTAGTAAAGTTTCTTTATTTTTGTCAGTTGTCCGTTGGCTTTTTACTATAAATTATAGTTATACAATTGTTTTTTATTGCTGGGTCAAGGATTTTTTATAATGTTGATCTTACAGCCTTGATAACAACAACTAATATATTATATACAGAATGAGTGTAATATGGTCAATAATATAACAAAGAAAATAATAAGAGCTAGTAGAATTACAAAGAAGAAATTTATAATTTATTTCATTGCTCGCCTGAGCTGCACAACGCTTACCACCTTACAAACGCTGATTACCACAAGAGAAAGAGCACGACGCTCTGGCATCCCTTAAGTCATTAATTAGGGTTGCCCCTCAGATGGCAGCTCTGAATTACATATAACAATAAAAAGGGTTAAGGAGTTAATAGTGTTAAAATTTTAAATAAGTTTTGCAGTAGCACAGGAGGCTTATTTCTCTAGCAAGTCGTGTCATTAAAATACGCGTTTATAAATGATACTTATAACATTTATTTATAAACTTGCATTTTCTTGAAACTTTTTGAGATAGAACAAAATTATTTTTATTAATATTCACCTTAAAAAGTTTAAGCATAATGTATACTTTCCTCTGCGGAAGGTGCAGGTGATCTATAAAAACTTAGTTGGTGATGCAATTAACTTCTTTTTTTTATTATAAACAACTCCAGCATAATAGTTTTGTTAACAGAGATAAAACTTGGCCAAAGAAGCGCGTTACTAGTAGCTGAGTAGGTAAGCGGAGTAAATGATCAGCAAAGAGTTTTGTTTTGTCTTCAACTCTTTCGGCTGCGTTATCGCCGTTGCGAAGTGGTGGCGAACGCTTCGTGGTTTGTAACTCGCCTGGCCACATAATATACAATATCGCCATTGCAATATATTTTCATCGTTGAGAAATTTTAATATTACTAAGAATTTATTTTACAAAAATAAAACCGACGTTAAAGTAATATATTTCATATATATTATTTTATTATGTTACTAACAAATGTAAGTTTGACTCCTTTAATTGGGTTATAAAATTTTTTTTTGCTGACTTTTGTTATTCATTAAAATGAATAGAATTTTTAATGATAATAAAGAAGTAACTGGTCTTCACTATTTTCTTATTTTTGTTTTTACGATCCTCTTATTATGTTCTTTTTATTAGTCTTAACTCAATTTTTTGCACTTTTTTTTTTTCACCTTTATGCAATTATAAATATTAATTCATATCTATACTTACAATGACTTAATCTTTCATTTATTCCTTTATTCCTTATAATTATTCTTGGAGAATTTTGCCTTCCTATCTATTTTCAATTTTTCCTACTGAGTAATTGTCATACCCAAGTTTGCCTGTGCCTATACTCATTTACTTTTTATTTCTTGCCTTACTTATAAGGACGGATGCAAAACCAACTTTAAAGTGCACCCACCTGTAGCTCTTAATCCTTCGGGAGCCTTTACAACTACGTTTAGACTTATTCTTAAAGAAAAAAAAAAAAAAACAGAAATAGAGGGATAAAACTACATAAACAGGCATTCAAATAATAGTGAGTAGTGTACTTTAAAAACATTGACATCATACACTTTGAAACTATTATTAAATTAATATACAACAATTTTGGCCGTGGATTACATGATACCTTTTTAGTATGTACGCAAGGCTTTCGTATTAAGGCGAGAAGAGAAGTCTATAGGACATATGACATGGACTTTATAAGTTAGCCCGAGTAACTCAAGAGCATTTGCGCTATCGAAGGGCTAACTCTCTACTTTACTAATTTTGAAAGCCATAAATTATCTCTTAGTTACCGGGCCGGAATTGAATATAAACACAACTGAAAAGTTCTAGGGTGAACTAACGAAAACATTTTAGACGAATTGAATAATAACTACGCCTTATTGTTTATAATAAACAGAGATTAGAACATAGGGAGAATGAACTGTATCTAATGCTCTGAAAAAAATAATATTTAGCAATGTCACCTTACGGGACGTTATGTTGCTTTGAATTTAAACGCAAAGATTGCAATGATCGTAAACTTTTCTTTTCTTAAAACTCAATTCTTCTTTTGAGAATAAAGTAGGGTTTAGTGATAATGCATGTCAATGCATGTTTAATTAAAAACTCAAGCAGTCAAGCAACTTTTATTACAACCACAAACCAAAAAAATCGTAATTTAGTGTGAATTATGCTATATATGCCCACTTTAAAAAATGACATCAAAAAAAAAATTATCGATGGTCTTTTCCATAAAAAAAAAACTAACCAGGTTTTACGAAAAATTCTGGTTTAATTTTTTCTCTAACAGTGCTACTTAATTGATATATATTTGTCTTTCAGAATTTAAAACATGCGTAAGTTAAAACACGGAATAGCCAACAAGGACGGGTCATACCGATTTTCCCGGTCACCAAAATTTTTTTATTTTAATTTTCGTAATCTAGTTGCCAGTAATAAGAATCCGTGTAACCTTAAGTGGTTATTTTTATCATGAATTGACAAATAATCGGCTTATGTTTTCTAATCGTTGTATCGTTTGATTATAACTTTTTAGATCTGCAATGTTTTAAAAAAAAGTCTAGTTATTTAATTTAGTATTTAATCGCATTTTACTTTTATACTAAATAAAGTTATTAAATAATTGAATTTTTATAAAGATGCCAACTACTTGGTTGCCTAGACGTAGTTCGTCGACAATCCACGCAGTTGGCTATATAACTTTTGAAAATGTTATGAAACTTTATTTTTGATAAAATAACCTCTTACTACAGACGAAATTGGGTAAAGAACTCAAAGAAGAAGATAGCACTGAGGATCTTGAGACCATTTCCACATTAGAGTTATACAATAACTTGCAAAAAAAGAAATCTTTGATAGAGAGAGGCCATCATAACCGCTCGCTAAGTAATACTCTTTTCAGTTTGATATATTCTTATAAAGTTATTACTATCAAGTTAAGTTAAATACCTTCAAAGGTGGATTCAATTTTATAAATATTATCACTAACTTTTTACCACTATGAATAAAGGTGCCCCATTTGCTTTGAAAAGAAATAAATTTTTAGAAGACGACGCCAACGCTGAAACTATTGTGGATACTCATATTGATACTATCCAAGAACAAGTTATTGCTGAAGCTGTTGAATGTTTTCCGAATGTTTCCTTCCGTTTCAGCAAAGTATTATAATATATTTATTTACTATTTATCTTTAAAAAAAATTTCCGGAATAAGGAAGAAAAACTTTCTTCAACAAGTAAAGCTTTGTATGAGGTCGGATACATTAATTAATTTTCCTATTAAATTGTTTCACTCAGCTATGAGCATTAGGCTGTATCACTGCACAAAGAACATAAGCATACTCCAAAAAAAAATGCGGAATATTTAAAAAAAGACACCACCTTGAATCCTCTCCCAGAAAAGTTATATACAGTATTTATCTTTTTTTAAAAGGTATTCTTCTCAAAGCCTATCTTTGATTAGTTGTAACGAGGATGAACTTAACGTTCAATTTTACTTGGTATTAATAGAGATGGGCATCAAAGAAAAGCAACGGTTGTATATTGTTTATTTCTCTATTAACCATAAACTCCTAAATATTAGTTTTCGTTCAGCTTATACAACCATCATATAAAGTTTTTGTTCGGCATATAAAAGAAAAAAAGCTTGTTAATACCGATTATTTACCAGTGCCGCCTATGAAAAATTCTCTAATGTTCAGAAATGGAATTTTATAATAAACTACCGCTCCAAACACACGCCACGCCAAAAGTCTGCTGAGCAGATAGTCGAGGTGCTACTTTTATAAAAGAATTGTTCTATTTCTTCCCCATTGGTTCTTCCCTATGTCCTCCAGCAAACTTTTCGCCTAATTTTTTGCTTTGTTAGAACTTCGTGTTTAAATTATTTTTTAAACCAAACAGTGCACTTTTTTTTACTATTTTTGTTACAATTACACGAGCATGAAGAGTTGCAAGTTATAATTTTTCTAATAAAGTAGGCTTTAACGGTCGTTCGTGTTTATGTTTAGGATCTGAACACTTTGTTCAACACCAAAGATACTCCCTGCGCTCACATTAAAAACAAACTTATCGCTTTGAGGAGCTCTTTTTTTATCGAAACTCCACAGTATATTCATATTATTTTCGCTAAAGGCTTGAAATAAAGTTTTGTTCTCTGAATTTTTATAGATGGTTACTTAATTTTGATCGCTTGAAGGGAATAGACACCCTTGGTTTCATCATCACCGAACTTTATCACCGCGAACAAACTTCTGAAACTGAAGAAGCTCTGCATGAATGGTATATAGATTACTACTCTTCTTCAAAAATTTACTTAGCTAAAAGTTAGGCGTAATATTTATGAACTTTTAAAACTAATTATGAGTCTATATGATGTGGAATTAGTGTTAATTGTGAAATCTTTTAACTACGCACATTTTATATTAAAGCGTTAATTCAGAAATCTTTTCGTTTTTTTTAGTAGTACATATTAGACAATATAGTAAAAATAAAAATTTGTTATATATAAATTAATATATAAATAGTATGTAAAAGTTAAGCAAAAGTAGTACCAAAAATTAAGAGTTGTGTTAGCCTTTAAAAATAAAAAGTCAACGCAAAGAAAGATTTATAAATAATTTCTTTACAACTTCTTTTTCTCACGTATTTTTTTTAACCAGTATATTGTGTCTCATAACGTATATGAAAACTGCGGAGGTATTATAGTAAAATTTATCAGCACACACTTTACCTATAATAATTTACTTATTACAAAGATGAAGGCTTATGCTATTATAATTTTTTTTGGTTAATCGAAGTTTGAAATTTTCTTTAGGGTTTCTGTGCGGTTGTCCGGAACTTACAAATTTTAAAAATCATTGCAAAATTAATCAGTGCGGATTCGAAAACCATTAAAATTTGCGGTGATGTTTTAGAAATTTTAGGAGTAGTGGCACTTGGTATTTTCTTATTGGCTTTTAATTATTATTAACTTTACTGCTCGCACAGTTTTTTTATTTTTTATATAAATTATGTTAATCTTTTCATCAAAAATAAGCAAATTGTTTGGGCCATCAGAATTCTATGGAGGCTCTCTTGTCGCTGAAGGGACTGCGAAAAGAAAAGTACAGGTCTTGAGATTGTATTATTATTATCACTATGAAAGTATATAAGATTTGAATTAATTACGAAATGCGGAATTTAAATTAAACCAATACTGTCTGAGTAATATGAGCTTTGAAACTTTAAAGGATCAAATATGCCGACTATTCGGGACAAATAGTCTAAAAATTCCAGAATTTTCCCGACAAATAAAATATATTATAAAATTAATTTAGAATTTTTATAATAGAATTAAAACTTTAATTAAAATCTCTGTAGATTCCAGCATTTGATGACTTTATTGGACTCCGGCATTTCCACTTTAGAGCTTACTTGTACTGTTACACTCTTTAATAAAAATATCCACCAAAAGTTATTAATAAATAAAAATTATAATTACAATAATAATAAACAACAACTTTACAGTCCTTAAAAAAATAAAAGTAAGACCTTATTAGAATTAAATCTTTTATTAATACTATTATTATTAAACTATAAGCTAATTCGAAACATAGAAAGCTTTTATTAAATTTGTTTAATCTGACTTGTAATTTTATTTTTATAATATAAAAAGATTTAGAATTTAGTTTATAAATGTTTTCTACAGCAAAGCAAACAAAAATACTAAATTAAAAATTATATTCATAAAAATATAAAATATATTTTCACTTTATTTATTGTGTTTCTATTTATTTTTAATATGTAAATTTTTAAGAGTAATAAATAATTTTTTTAAAATTTAAATTTGTTTTTTATATTTTTTGAAGTTTTTCATTATTTTTATTGTTATGTATATCCTTTTTTAATAAAGGCATGCAGCTAATTAACGCGATAGTAAATTCTAAATATCTCACCGTTGATATGCGCATGAATCTCAGAAACGAATTCGCGGCGGCCGGTATCCACTATTCCTATTGCCATTACTATCATTATTATTCTATCATTACGTTTAGGGCTCTTAAAAAAAATTGAAAAACTAAAAAAGTCTGAAAGTTTAGAAGACGGCCTCGTGACGCACATAGCCGCGTGGGAAAAAAATAGTTACAGAGATATTCAGATTATTAATGAAAGAATCAACGTACCTATTTTTTTTTATGCTTTGTACTGTAAGGATGTGTATTAAAAATCATGAAAAAATAAATAAAGAGAGCCATGAAAGAGTTGAGCCACGTGGACGACGTTTACTCTATTCTCGGCGATTTGACGGGAGGATTTACTGCAAACTTTGCCTTAACAAATTTGTTCCAACAATTGTTTTTAATGCAACTGTGAATAATTATAAATAATGAATCATTCATAACCATAATTATTTAATTTACTGCAGCGTTGACCCGGACGGCGCGGACGTCAAGGTCAATTGCACACAAAGAGCGCGTCTGGCGTTTGTTTTGGCGCTATTAGAAAAAGTTTAATAAACTAATAATATAACGCATAAAAACTATTGAAAATGTAATTTTTTTGAAGATTGTAAGGGACGGCTATGATCCGGACTTTGCATGCTTCCACGTGGATGCAGAAATTTTCCGACTGGTGTGGTTTTTCCTGCTTTCTTTGTGTTTTTATATATATTAAATAATATTTTATTATTTTTTACATATAAGTATTTAATGTATTCATGTATTCATTGTATTTTTATTATATTTATATAAATTATAGCCTATGATAAACGAGGAGAAGTTAAAGTATGCCGAGTCGTACGTGCATCAACTGTCGGAGATTTTTTATAAGCAGACAAAACTTAAAGTATGTTCATATTTATATATTTATTATTTATGCAATATATTTTTATTTATTACTTATCTATATTTATATAAAATATGTATATTTACTTATTATTGAAATGCTTTGTAGCATACGGAGCATAAAAAAATAATTGACAAACTTTATCTTCTTGATAAGTCTATAACTGGTACTCTTTTGAAAGTTTTTTTTACTTATTACTATCTTTATTTACTTTATTGTAGAAAATAAAAAGCAGTTGGAGGAGTTAAAAAATAGCAATTCTGAGGCGCTCGATCGCTCCCATTTGGAACTTCTTAAACGTTTGAAAGCGTCTTGCCATACGCAACGATCACGCGCTAGGGTATATTCTTGATTATTGGTCGGTTCTTATTTTGGTGAGCTGCTCAAACATTGTAGTAGTAACAAAATCGTTAAAGATGTTATTATTATATATTTATAACAATAAATATCACTTTGCTGGTTCCCTTTTTCTTATGTTTTTAATAAAATTCAAAAAAGTATAGAAACTTTTATTTTTCATTAAAATATGTATATTTCTTTATTATTATAATAAAAAGTTACTATTTGCTCTTTTTTATATATTTACATATAAACATTTTTGCTTTCTTTTATACCAAAATTATAAAGCTCACTAAAATTGTTGTTCATTATATACTTTTTCCGGTGTCACATTTTTAGTGAATATGGAGTTCTTTAAAAGAACTTTTATAGGCGCTTTATTTATATACTTATTGGTGGATTTTTTAAAGATATTAGAAGAGATCATTAATAATTTGGACAAATATCGAGACGCCAATCCAGACGGCATAATACGATTGGGTTTGCCTTACATTTTAGTATTCATATTTTTTATACTTTTATTATCTTTAAATCTATTGGTTTGTTTGGGATTCATTATATACTGGATCTATTCAATTTTAAAAGTATTTAATATGCGCAACGCATTAAAAATACTGAAGTAGTTATTCACATGATATTTTAATATATATACTAAAAAAAATTTTCTTATTTTTTTAATTTCATAATAATTAATGGTATTCAGGAGGGCGCCGGTCAAACGAAGTAGAAAATGACCCCATTTATGCGCTACGGGAAGTCCTTGGGCTCGGTCCCGCGCCCGTCCCGCTGTCCTGCAAAAGAACTCTTTCGCAAGGTGCAAGTTCGTCACAATGTTTACTATTATTATTGCAAACACTTTACAAACTTGCATCCCAGCAATTTTTTTTACTTCTATTGGGGCTTTTTTCTGTAGCATTCCATTTGTGGGAGTAGCTTCTATTCTTACATTTTTCATTAAAAAGTTTTTTTATATTAGAAAATAAAATTATATGGTTGCTTTTTTCAGCAAAAAATACACTTTTTTTAGTGAATCCACACCTCCCCCCTCCAAAAAATTTTCATCTATTCGTATGCAGACACATCCATTTCGATATACACCCCTCCAACCGATCGACTATACTCGACGGCCATTGCGACTTTAGAAGGTCTTCTTGTATATCGTAATGCTCCTTTATTCTTTATGACTTCGTTTTCTTCGTTATTTTTGTTAAATGTCATTTTTATGAATAGTTTTTTAGCAAAACGCTTATTGGTGAGCTTAATGTGGTTGACACCAATAGCTTTTGGTTTTTGTTTGGTTGGGAGCGCTTAAATATGTTTTGAACTTTCTTAACTTTTTGTTTTTCTTTGCTTTCCTATAAAATAACTTATGGATGTTGGAGACTATAAAACTTCATTAAATCCAGTAAAACTAGTCACTGATTATAATGAATTTTTAATTTTTTTTACATAATCGAATTTTAATACTTTTTGTAACAAGAATTTATAGCCCACAACTTCAACTTATATAATGAACATATAAATATATAATAAAACTTAATCCTATATTTTTTATACGTAATACTTATAGAAGACACTGTTATTAAACTCGACGAAGAAATAGCCAATGATGAAGCGCCCGCGCTACCAATGGTGCCTCCTCCGCCCCCTCCTCCGCCCCCGCCCGGATCAGCACATGGCGACAAGTACAGAAAAAAGCCTTATAAAATTGTTGCTAGTACGCAACTAAAGAGAATGAACTGGAGTTCAGTAAGCTAAATTAATGTTTTCATTATTTCTATTGATCCAAAAAGTTGGATAAAGTAATAATAATACTGGGGCCAACAATTCTGCTCGCTAAAGAAAATTAAAATCCATTTAAAAATTGGGCCAAAAAAGTATGATTTGGCTCGGTGTTATTATTTGGTTGCATTTTTTTGAAGTCAAAATCATTTTTATAATTATCAAAATAAGAACAACGCAGACTCCATTATAATAATTGCATGAAGGCTAACAAAGAGTACCAAATTACACCAGTCCACATAAACTGATACTGATAAAATATATTTAGGTGCCTTATTTCAAAGTAAAGGGTTCATTTTGGGAAAACGTAGAGGAGGAGAGATTCATTGACTCGATAAACTGGAAGTAACATTTTTTATGATCTTAATATTAATTGGTGGGTTGCTTATTATGATTACTATATAGCGACCTTGAAATGCATTTCTGCAACAAAAAGAGTCACTTTTTATCTAATGGTGAGCCCGAAAACAAGCTAAAAGGTGCTGCTCTTTTCATTTAAAAAAAACTTATATAGCCAATGAGATGTCGTACGAGCTCCGATTGGTTTTTTCCATCAAGCTTTTAACCTTTTACAAAAAAATTAAAATAGCCAATACGATTTTTTATAGTTGGTTAACAGTTTAGTTTTCATTATTTATTTTGCCTTTTAAATATTTTGTCCCAACAAAAAAAATATATATTTTTATACATTCCAGAAACTTACATCGATGTAATGGACCCGAAAAAGTCATACAACTTGTCTATTTTGCTAACCAATCTCGTCTCGAAGCGAACGGTGCAGTGGGTAAAAGGTTTTAAAAGTTTTTTTTTTTTTCATTAAAATAAAATACTGAGAAGAAGTATAACGAACTTTTTAATAAGTAAAAATAATATTTATAATAAACATAAAAAAAATTAATATATTTATACAGATTATATCAGTAAGGGTTTCTGATAAACTTTTTTTCTTAAAAATAAAAAATATATACAATTATAATAATGAATTCATCAAGAAGTAAAAATATCTCTATAAAAGTTATCCTTTTTTTCATGTTTACAAAGAAAAACTTTAGTTTTTAATTCAAAAATCATTAAAATCGTTGTTGTATGTTAAGTTGTTGCTTAAAAATCCGGGAACTTTTTAAATTTAGTGATCATAATCACTTTTTTTAATGAATTATAGTACTTTTTAAATTTTATTATTAACATTATTATAATAAAATATAAATATGATAGAGAGACTCCTCAAATGCGACACTGAAGAGCATCCCGAATTATCTTTGAGCCTATTGGTTGCTTTTAAAAGGTTTTTTTTAACTTAATTTTTACCTCGTAAAGTATAAATTATATATAAATAATAATAAAAAATAATGATATGTACTCAAGATGGGCGCCGGACGAAAAGGAAAAAGAAAAACTTGACACTTTTGAAGGCGACATCGAAAAACTCGCACTTTCGAATCGGTTCATGAAGGAAATCTCGAAAATCAAACGATTTAAAGAGAGAATGAACTTCATTATAATGAGAGTACATCATTTTTAGAACACAATTGGTTCCCCAAACCACGTGTTATTAAGCTTACTTGATATCTATTGGTCTTTTTCGTGACTTACATAATTTTTAGTGGCCCCGTCGGCGGTTTGAGTTGATTATTATTATTATTGAAATAATAAAACTTTTTTTGATAATAATAATTTAAAAGAGAGAACACAACGAGCTGCACACTAAATTGGAAAAGTGGGTGGAATGCGTTACTTTTGCCTCAAAAGAAGTAACTATATCCTTATTATTACTATTATTATTATTTTTTAAATATATATTATTATTTTAGCTCAAAACGAACAAGAAATTTCAAAAGATTCTTGAAATCATACTTTTGCTGGGAAATTATATGAATTCGAGTTTCAAAAATGTTCGGCCTTCTTTTGGCTTTCAACTTTCGTATCTCACGAGTTTATCGAGCGTAAAAAGCATATGCGGGAAAAAAAATCTTCTAAATTTTTTAGCGGAGGTTAGTTTTTTTTAAGTACGGATTGCTACAATTACTTAGATGCTAAATTTCTACAAAAAGAATAGAAAAAAATTTTATAGAAATGAAATAAAATATTTTTCTATAAACATAAAATTTCCTGGTAAATTTAAATTGGCGGATTTACTAAGTTTAAAAAATTAACAAAAAGAATAAATATATAAATTTTAATATTATTATATAAATACTTTGAATCAGTAAGCGGATTTACTAAAAAAAATTAATTTAAATTTAAATTTTGTGTGGCAAACTGTAGAAATCTAAAACAAAATTTTAATTTGGATCTTAACTTTGTGTAGTAAACTCTGAATTTAAAAATTAACAAAAAGGTTTTAAAGGGTGCTATAAATATAAAAAAATAAAATATTTTCTAAATATTTATGAATAAATTTTATCTATAAAAAAAATTAACCGGCGGATTCAGTTAGGAAACTAATCTAAATTATCGTGTAGTAAAAATATTTATAAAATAACATTGTTGTTATTTTATAAATATTTTTACTATCTTTTGTATATAAAAGTTATAGTTGAATTTCTAAAAAATTAATATTTGAGTTCATTTTAATCAGTGTAGTAAACTATATTTATTTATAAATTAATAAAAGACTAAATATATTTTATAAGTATACAATTATATTTTATACAAAAATGAAAAAGTGGATTTACCAAAAAATTAATTTTTAAAATTTTCTGTGTAGCAAACAGTATAAATTAAAAATTAACGAGAAGCTTAAAAAAGTTTATATAAATTAAATAAAATATATTTTTTATGTATATAATTTAATTTATTTTTTCAGTTAATAAGAGGCTAAAATAAAAATTCGAGCTACTAAATTTTTGTTTAGTAATCTCTGAAATTGAACATTAAAAAGATTTAAAAAGTTGCTAATATAAACAATACTATTTCATATATATTTAAATATTTGTTTATATAAAAATTGATAAGCAGATTTACTAAAGAAATTGATCTAAATTATTGGGGAGTAGCCTCTATAATTTTGTAAAATAACGTAAAAAATTAAGATTTATGTGTGAGAAATAAAATAATATTTTCTAAATACTTCGAAGTGTGTTACTAAAGAAAATTAATAAGCGGATTGACTAAAATAATTATTAACTTAAACTAATTTGAGGGCTAAACTATAAATTTTAAAAAAAAAAGGAAAATAAAAATATGATAAGTCAAATATATTTTTATATTGAAATTATTTTGAGCATTCACCAAAAAAAAAAATAATATAATTTTGATCTAAATTTTATAAATTTTAATAGTGTATTAAACTATAAGTTATATATATAACTTCAAAAAATAAAAATTAAAAAAAATATAAGTCTTTAATTATAAAAAAAAGAACTTATAATAAAAAATGGACAATTAAAAAAAAGTTATAATCCAGTAAATCTTTACAGTAATGAACCTATAAAAGATGTTATTAAACTTCGGTGAAAGTGCATCTTCAACGAAGTAAATTTTCAAAAGAAATATATTAGCTTACAAATCTTTTAATATTTAATTGTAAACTCACTTACAAGCTTTTGAGTATAAAAAAATTTTATATTGATAAAAACATATCATAAACTGTTGGTTAACTATAAATAAAAGTTTAGGAAGAAGAAAATTTAAGCAGTGCTAAAAAATTAAAAAAAAAAATATAATTAAAGATATAGGTAATGTTAACAAAAAATTTATTAAAAAATTATTTATTAGAATAATAATTGCGTTAAATTTTATTATTAAGTTAAAAAAAAATTACATAAGGGAAAGTTTTATAATACATCTAATATTAAATAAATATTGATTGGTATGTATAATTTATGAAATGTATGTAAAAATTTGTAAAGAAAAGAAGTTAAGAAATTCTTATAATAAAAGCAAAAAAAATAACAGTTGTAAAGTTTATTATAATATAATAATTAAATAGGTTTATTATATAGTATTGTTATACTTTTTGAAACTGAATAATTTAAAATAAATTCGATTAGCGGAATTATTAAAAAAAAAAATTAATAATAAAAGTGCAAAAAATATACGTTAGAATTAAGAACTTTCATCAGAAAAGGAAAGTAACCACTAAAGTAAAAGTAGGTTTAAAGATAATATATTTAAAATTATAATTTTGATTGGTGTGAACCTTAAAAAAAATGTGAATAGGAATAAAAGTAAAAGGTCTATTTGTATTTAAAATTAAAATTTTAAATAAATGAAAAATAACTACGTAAAGGTTGACCGATGTTTTAAATTTTATTATAAAACAAAATTATAACATGCTTGAAACGAATTAAATTAATATATGTAATTAAAACTAACTAAATTTTTTAGCATATATTTAAGATTTTTCAAAATCTTAGAAAAAATTATGAGTAATGATAATTAAAAATGCAGACAATATATAAAGACGAGGAATTAGGGAAAGTTTTTGAAGAACCTCACGAGCACAGTAAGTCTTGAAAATGTTTGTATTTTTTGGCTAAAAATAATAGTGAATTTGATATATATTATTATATATTTTTTGCTTTGCTAATCATTATATAAACATTAATTACATCAGAAATCTTTTGATATATATTTAATTTTTCTTGCTTTGCTATTTATTTATTTATATATTATATAAGTAAAAATTCCGATTTATTAATCATTATTTTGCTTTGCTATTTATTATATAAATATTAAGTAACTTAAAGTTCATGTATATATATATTTCTTTTAAACTTTGCTAATTATCATGTAAAATTAAGTAAATCACAACTATATTTTTAATAACTATTATTTTTGCTTTCCTAATTATTATATAAATATTAAGTAAATTAAAATTCTAGTTTAATATATCTTGAATTTTTTTGCTTTGCTAATTTTTAAATAAATTTAAAGTAATTCGGAAGCCAATTTTTATTTAATTTTATCTTAGAAGTTTATAATTTTACTTTTTTTTTTAGTAAAAGAATGTGCTGATGTTCACTTTCATCTTTTAAGAGAAGACATCAAAGAGTCTAATGCAAACCTGAAGCTTCTAAAAGAAGAACTCAATATTTTGTCTAAAAGCGAAAAAGTTTTTAAACATATTTTATTTATTATTAATTTTTTTTTATTGTTTACTATTATTATGAATTTATATTTATTTTTATAATTCGTTTATTATTATTCCTAACACTATTGATTTATTTATTATTATTTTTAAATAATGTTACTAACACAAATATTTATTTATTTATTATTACTTTAAATATAATTCTTTTGCTAGAGTTATAGCTATAACTAAAAACTCTTTTACCTCTTTTAATATAAATAGGAAGAAAATGACTTCTTCATTGAAGAGTTTAAAAAGTTTTTCGAACATTTGAAAAATAATGTGGAAGATTTAAATTCCAAGTACGAAGAAATGTTGGAGGTAAGCTTGTAAATTAATTTCTTTGATAACAAAAGTAAATAACTACTGCCATTTTATTCATTATGCACACTGAAAAGGCATTCTTATTAAAATTTTGTTAAGTTTTTTTAAGCATCTAAAATAATTTATTTGGTAACAAAAATAATAACTACTACCATTTTAATTTGAACACGTAAAAATATACACACTAATAGACTTTCATTAAAATTCTGTCAAGTTTTTAAGCTTGTAAAATAATTTGTTAGTTAAAATTAGTAACTACTGCCACTTTCTTATATTATATACACTAAAAAAGACATTCTTATTAAAATTATAGTAAGTTTTTTTCAAGTTATCTATTAACAAATCTAATAGAGCCTGCCGTTTTAATTTTTTTAAAAATATTTTTCCATGTAAAAATACCTAAAAATAAAGATTTTTATTATAATTCTCAAGTTTTTTTTTAAGCTTTAAATTAATTTATTTGGTAATCAAAAATAATAACTACTGCCAGCTTAATTTTATTTATAGTTATATTTTATTGAACACTCAAAATGTATACCAGAAAAAGACCAAAATTGTAAAGTTTTTATAAGCTGCTTTCATAAGCTTGCAAATTATTTTATTTGAACTAAGAAAACTATAAAAACTCCCCTTTTTTTTTTTTAAATTTCTTTTCCATTATGAACCCGTAGTTAACAAAAATTACTAAATACAGACATTTTATTGTATAATATACATCGCAGAGTCATTCGCTCGGTAAAATTTGTTTTTTTAGCTTGCAAGTTAATTTTTTTGGTAACAAAAAACTAATAATAACTACCATTTTAATATTTTTTCATATTTTTTTTATAATGTACAGTTAAAAATGTATACTAATAAAGACAATCACCAAATTTCTATAAAGTCTTCATAAGCTTGCAACTTAGTTTATTTAACCACGAAAACTACTAAGTACTGCAGTTGTAACTTTTATAATTTTTTTTTATAATTATGTAAAACCTTTCTCTAATAAAGACTATTGCTCAATAAAACTCAAAAGTATTTTTTTTTAGCGGTCCTTAAAATAAAATAGTTCAATAATACTTTATTATAAAAACTTTTAATTTTTACAAATAAAATTTTAAATTTTAAATTCTTAACGTTACTGCTTTCATTTTTTTTATAAATTTCTTGAAGCAGTAGACTTCAGCATTTGCTCTTTATATAATTGTTTCTTACAATGTCATAAGAAAATATAATTATAAAAGTAAAGCATGCAATAGATATTTTCAATAAGTTTTATTATTATTATTATCAATTTTTTTTACTTACAAATATATTACTTTTGTAAAAAAAATATAAAGATATTGAGAATCTAATTATCTCATATAAGGCTTTTTTTAAGAAAATAAAGAAATTTGTCGAGAATCTCAAAGTAAAAAAAAGATAGATTCTGTCAGAACTATTTATTATTATAATAATTATAAAAATAAAAAATATATTTAACATACAAAAAGAATTTATAAATTAATTAAAAACTAAATTTTACTAAAATCTGTAACCTTTAGAGTTCTTTATAACAAAAAATTATTAATTTTTATAGAATATATTATATATTTTTCTTTTCTTTCATAACTTTTAAAAATAAAAAAAAAGATTAAAAACACAAAATTTTTATTAATTAAATGGGCTTATTTCTATATAATTAAAATCTTTTTTCCTTATTAATTATTAATTCCTTCCTCAATTTTTTTAATATCTATTATATTTTATATAATGTTAGTAAAGCGCACCACAATTAGTGTTTTTACAAATTTCTTTTAAATTTTGCGCCTTTTTCCAAATTATTTAGGTATATGAAAATTTTACTGGAGGTTTCACGAAACCTTAAAAAAAAGTTGTTGGTTGTGGTGTTAAGAATCACTTGAATTTTAAATTTAAATAATTAGAATTTTACAACAAAATAATTTATGAAAATCGTAAAATGCTTTATAAAAAGTTTTCTGTAAAAATAAATTTAAATACAGAAGTAGCACTGAAATATAAAATTAACTTAAATTTAAGATGCAAATCTTAATAATGAACAAAAATACTTTGTAAAGTACATATGATAATTAAATCGAGATGCAGAACTTTGTATCTAACAATTTACTTTGTAAATATATAACAATTTAGCATTGTGCACATAATTAAATTGAGAGAAAAGCTTTTACCCTAACAAAAATATTTTATAGATTATTATATTTATATAATTATTTATAACAGCCCTTGGAATATTCATTAAAAAAATAAAAAATTAAAATCATGTGCCTGAATATTTGATTTTAATTTTTAGACTCGAATCTTTTTAATCTATTTCTTACGTGAAGGTCTATAACGACGTTGTAGCCTTTTATAAGTACCCGGAGGTCGCCTCTCCCGAAGATTTTTTTGGAACAATCGGAAAGTTTTAGTAGGGCTCTTCCGTATTGACTGCTATCCCACAAATTTTAAAAAAAACATTAAATTTATAGTGAAACTTTGAAAAGAGCGCACGAGGAAAACTTAAAAGCGGCGGAAGACGCTAAAGAAGTACAAAAAAGAAAAGCATTGAGATTAGCAAGGATTGAAAAACAAAAACTACAGAAAGAAGAATCAAAAAAATCGGTCAGTGTCTGCTTTTATAATGAGTTCTAAAAAAAATATTTTCTACTGAGTTTTTGAATTGTTCATTTTTTAAAGAAAATTGGCACTTTTTTCATATAAAAATAAATCAGGGCCGAACCCAAGAAACTGTGGAACAGTCAAAACTAGCAAAAGAGCTTTTGAAAAGCCTTCGAAAAGCTAAATTTGCACAGGAAATTGACGTTGAAAACAACGCAGAACAGGAAATTTGCCCCGCTGAGAACAGCGTGGAGGGCCGCCGTCACTGCGAGGAAGGGCAGACCGAGAAGAAAAAGGATGAAATCAAAGAGAATTTGGATGATGTTCACATTTTGGTCGGCGCAATGGACAGCAGTGAAGGCGACAGCGAGGAGGAAGAGAATTTAATTAAGGAAAAAAGTAGTAATAGCGTAGAACTGGATAGTAGAGATAGTAATAATAATAACGCAATGGAAGACACTTATATAGAAAAAGAAAAATCTCAAGATGAAATTAGTAAACAAGATAATAAAGATTGTCAGAATGAATGTGATACTACTAATAATTGTAATTTAAATGATAATTTTATTGATAACGGTTGTAATAATATTTCTAATGAGAATGCAAAAACTATACATAAAGTTCAAAACAAAAGAAAAAGTAAAAAAGTGAAGTACAAAGCTTCGAAAGGATGTCAAACTCAATAAAAATTCTCGGTTTCACCGCTAACGTAGTTATCACTTGTAAAGGGATGCTTCTTTATTTGAAAAAATTTAATAAATAAATAAATTTCAAAACTTTTTTAAAGCTACCAGCGCGATAGATTTTTTACTTTTCTATAATTTAGAAAGCAATAAATTTAAAATATATTTAGGTAGTTTCTAAGCGCTTAGAATAAAAAAAAAAGCTTAACATCTCTTCGGCTATAAAAGTAGAATACGTTGGGAAGATCCAAGACGTACACAAAATCAAGACAAAGACTAAGTTGACAATTGCAACAAACCTATAAGGGTTGGTTTATTTCTTATAATTTGAATATCGAAATTGTAAACTTAAAATTGTTTTGTTTGTTTCTTCAACTTTTATACAATTCATTTAAAGTAAATTTTAAATTAATTTACAGTTACCAAAAAAAATTTGATTGATAAAAATATTAAGCTTTATAGTTAGTAATTATAACGTAAGCAATTTATTAAAAAAATCGGCAGATATTTATTTTTTAAAAAATATTAACAATAGAGTCAGGTAATACTGGTCATATTCAAAATTTTTTTTTCGTACTTTAAAGTTATATAAAAGTTAAACGTACTTCGTGGAGAGTCAATTTGCTCAAAATCCCTAACTTAAGATTTTAGATAGTACTTCAATTCTTTTTTTTATTAAGAAAATCCAATAGTCCTTTCTAAGTTTGTCCTTAACTTTGTCTATAGGGATGCAGTAATCAAATTAAAGTTACAAACAAATAAGTCTTTGACTTTTTTAATAAATAAATAAAAAAAAAGAAGCCTTTGACAAAAGAAATTATTAGAAAAGTAAATGAATTAGTAAGGTAGTCAGACAGTGCTTAAACTCTTGTAATACGCTGTTTTGTTGAAATGTTAAATGAGGTTAAAATTAGCTTCTTAATGCTTTTCTTTGTCCTCCAAATGAATTCTCCAATATAAAAGTTTGTTAAAGTCTAACATATCTTGACTGCGACGAGGATGTAAATTATAAAATTAATTCTAACGTTATATAGTAAAAAAATACATCGTTACCGCAAAGCAAGACTTTGCAGCATTTAAGCTTATGTACAAGTCAGTCGCCATTTATTATTTTTTTTAGAAAAAGAGATTTGTTTTCTACCTTCTACAATCTTTTGGAAGCCTTTTAAAATTTATAGTATCTTTTTCTATTTCCTTTCTTGCTTATAATTCTTCTTTTTTCCTATTTCTTCTAAACGCTGTTTTTGTTTCTATTCTTTCACAGAATAAAAAGTTTGGTGAACCTTTGGCTTTACATTATTTAAACTTACAAGGTATAATGTTATTGATAGGCTTTTAAAGTTATGAAATTATAGATAAAATCAAGGTTTTTTATAAAAGTATTATAAATTTATTAAAAAATGCAGATAAAGTATTGTAACAATCTTATAGCGCTTTTATTACGTAAACGATATATTTTAAGAAGTTGTAAGTCTCTTATCGTTACTATTTAGAAGTAAAATTACTAAATAAAATAAGTAGAGCTCATAAATAATTCTTTTTTTTGCTGTATAAAAGCATTAAAACAAGAAAACCAAGCCGTGGCCCATCTCTTATAATTTACAAGTAAACAGTGCTCCCCTAAAATATAATACTTTATGTATTGATGTATACTAGCAGCCTTATTCAAACTATTTGTTAGAAAAGCCGTTATCAGAAGTCAATTTATGCTTTTAAAATTAACAAACCGCTGTAAATAAATTTATATAAATATTCTGCAAAGTGAGATAACTTAATTAGTTAATAAATATATCATAGTGAAGTTAAAGTCTGGTTTACTTAATATTATTTTAGAAACAACGACCTAAAAAATCATTGTTAAATAGTTATAAAACAAATTTCCACAACATCGGTATAAAAAAGTGGCAAATAAATTAGGAATGACTTAACGTCTGAAACTTTAGAGGCAATCTATTTATCTTTTCTATTAGTGTAAACTAAGTACTATGGGAACAAACTTGTTAGAGCTGAGCTCAGTAAACGAACAACTATCGTCCCATACTCCTTCTTCTGCTTTATTGAACTTGTTATAAAAAAATAATTAAATGGAATCGTAACTATTATTTAGCGCAATCAATACTTGTAACTTGTGAACTGAAGAAGATAATTTAATCAACTACGATTTTTTTTTATTTTCAAAAGCAATACGAGTAGTTTAGATTTTACATACTGTGAAGTACACATTTATATATTTATGTCTCGAAGAACTTCACGGCAAGCTATTAATAAAATTTTACAAGCGTTGTAGTTTGGATGGCATTCTGGAAAATTATTTAGCTGTTGACGAACTTACAAGGGACAAATTATAGAAAAATATACAAAGAATCTCGCTCAAATTAGAGTAAATTTGCGGGACTTAAGAAGGAACTAAAATTTGTATGTGCGATAAAAATTTATATTATATAGAGGATGGAGGATGAAGATTAAAGGGGATTTAGTAAGGCGTAATATTAATTTTCAGGTAAAAAATTATAAAATTATAAAATTAAAACCGATCAGAAGGCAATTAATTTTTAAACTGGAACAGTCCAAACCCGCAGGAAAAAGTGTAAAGCTTTATGATGAAAAATTTAAATCATTTATATCCTACAAATTATTAAACATTGTGTAGAAATGCGCCCTTTATGTAATAATTTAGTAAATCCGAATGCCTTCGAGCAAAAAATTAAAAATTGTTGCAATCAATTCGACAGCAGTAAACAAAATACAGAATTTTATTGTTTTATAGAAAATTAGATTTTCTTATTTGGTCGCATTTGCAACAGCGTAACCTTAACAATGGCAAAATATCAAAAATACAACCAAAAAAAAATAAGAGCGTACCTTAAAAAGCCAAGTGTTCTGTAGATTCACTAGAAAGGACGGATATCTTCTGTTCACTTTTTGGCTGCACAAAAGCTTTAAGAAAAAAAGATTATTTCATTAAAATAAATTTCAGATGAATTCAGAAACTTAAAAAAAATATTATTCTACAATTTTTTTTATATTATAAAAGCATTAACTTAATTAAATTTATTTAAAATCAATAAAATTTAGTTAAGCAACTTTTTTGATAGTAACTATTTAAAGTTATATACTTTTTTCTGCGATGCTCTTGTCTACTATAACTTTTAAATCATCTTCATGCCTCAAAAGATCGCAAAGTAGCGCGTAAGTACTTTGAATTAATTGAACATCATTTTGTCTTTTATTTAAAATTTCCTATATTAAAATAATAACCCCAAAAAATTAGAAAGTCGGAATTTATATAAAATGTTTAATTAAAAATCTAATTGCTACTGACGCAAAATTATATTATAAAAGTAGTGAAACGCTTCAAGATTTTTATAATACCACTTTTGTTTTATAATTTAAATTTAAATTTAAGATTTCCAAACGTACTTGAGTTAAATAATAAATCTGCTGAATGGCCTCTTCGCTTTCCTTATTATTATTATTACTGCTAATTTTACTCGATTCCATGCAAACTTCATGCACAACTGCCTTTGAGAAATTAATAAATAAAAAAGTTCATCCAAATAAAACAAATTATTATAAAATTTATACTTTAAATTATTTTACAATTAGTTATCAAAAGATATTAAAATCTAACTTTTAGTCTATCAGCAAAACTTGTTTCATCTTCAATGAGAGAAATTCTTTGATTTAAATTTTCTAAAAGAATTAACTTATAATTAAAATTAAAGAAAAATAAAAGTTAAAAATACGACAAAATTGTTTGTAAACAATTAAATAATTACAAAAATACTAACGAAATTAAAATTATTAAAAGATTTAGTAGTTATAAATATATTTTCCATATAATAACTTGTTAATTAATGTAATTCTTAAAATTTAAAATTTCTTAAATATTATAAAAATGGTGTAAAATTATTGATAGCGGGTTAAAGTTAAATAAAAAAAAGATAAATAGAAAAATAATTAATAATTAATTTTTTTTAATAAAAATTAAGTAAAGAAAAATTCTAATAGAAATTATTTATTTAAGAAAACAAAATAAATAAGTTTATAGTAAATAAAATTATAATTTGGATATGTTTTAAAAAAAATAAAATTTAATTAAAAAAAATTACAGTAACAATAAAAATAAAAAAATTACTAGCGAGATTTACTTTATTTTAAGAAATTCTAAAACAATTTTAAATTAGTAAAACTGTTTTTCCAGTAATTAGTTTAATAGAAATTAGAAAATAAATAAAATATTATAAGCTCAACTAGCAACAAGTTTTAGATCATTCTCACGTGGCCCAAAATACGCACGTTTGCTTCTACAAAGTTGTCTCCAATTCAAACTGCGTTTCTCTAAACAAATAAATTTTTAAGTTTTTATAATTTTAAAAAAAAGAAAAATTTAAAAATAATTTTAACGCCACCCGGCTTGTAGCTGAAGTGCTTCAAAAAATGATTAGGAATGTTTTCAATATTATTAGTAATTTCATATTTATTTTTAAAAAAGTTTTTAAAGTTCCTTCCATATATAGAAATAGTGGAGGGGCGAAAGTTTTTGTTAAATTTACTTTCTTGATTAATTCTGCAACCTTTTAAAGTAAAATAGAATAACAGTGAAACATAAAACTTTTATAACTAATTTTTAGGATATATTTAAAAGCTTTGTTGAAGATGCTGATAGAATAAGCGTAATAATATTATTTAGGCTTAACAAAAAAAAATTGCAACTTTTGTAAACTGATAGTTATTACAAAATAAATCTGGTTTTTTTTAAGTAAATTTTTTGTTTAATAAATAAAAGTTTTTATAACAAAAGTTACCAGTTCTATTGTTTAGCGGCGGCGTGGAAGGTACGAAACTACGAATGTCAGTTAAAAAGTTTTACAACAGTTTGAAAATTAAAATATGAGAATTATTTAAACCTAGAATAAACTTTGTCAAAATCTTTAAAATTTGCATGAAAACTGATATTCCCTTTTTCTAAATTAGTTAATTGTTTCTGAGTTTTGCGCTTACGTTCTTCACTAGTTGAAAAATCCACGGCTAATTCGTTACCACTACTTTCATGGTCACTCATACTTCCATTATCTTTTTCAATCTCGTTTCTTATTTTATTGTATGGGGCAGCGGATCCATCTTCGATATACAAACTAAAGTTTGTCGACGCTTTAATACTAGAGTTAAAATAATCTTTACTGCTATAGTCAATAAATTCCGAAACTGAATTGGAATCTTTTAAGTCCACTAGTATATAATCAATTGGTAATATCAATATAACTTTTTTAAAAGGAAAAGATGAAACTTACCTGGGTTATAATAGGACTTATAATCAACAGTATTATAAGAGTCATTATAAAAGCTATAGGCGGGGTTGTTAAATATATTTGAATATTCGTTATTAACAGAAGAAAATTGATAATTATGGAGACAGGAAGTTTTGACCGAAAATTCCTTATCTTTAGATAGGAATACTTTAGTATCTAAATTAATTGAATCTCCGTATTCCCCAAAACTATTTACTAAAGGTAAATCTTTTTGATTCCCTTCTTTAGAGGCAGCGGCTACCAAAGGAGTAAAAGCCTCATAAGGAGACAGAGAAATCGAAAGAGTACGTTTTAATGGCGCTCGAATAAACTTTGAAGAAACTAAATTATCTTGTGAAACCAAGCTAGCTAGGTTTTCTTGGAGGTTAGTATTATCAATAAGAGAAATAGCATTCTCAGAGCTATTATCTAAACTACTAGTACTATTACTATTATATGTATAATTACTGTTATTATTTATATTGGTATCAATATCTTCAGCGTTATCTTCATCCATAATAATATCGTTAATAGTACTAACATCGTGGCGACTTCTCACGATAATACTATCACTGTTACTGTTACTATATCTATCGTTATCGGTGATGGGTGAAACACTACTATTATTCCCAATAACTTTATCATTATTACTATCGCCTTCTAGATTTATAGTAATACAACTATCTTTAAAAAATTTAGTGTTAATATCTTTATCGTTGTACGCGTCATTATAAGCATCTCCTTCAGAGCTCACTATAAACAAATTTAATACTTTAGTTATAGTTATTTAAATAAGTCTGAGACAACTCGGACCTTTTGCAGGCAAGTATTTAAAGTTCTCTCCGGCAGCTGCACCTTCCGTTTCGATTGAAGATTTTAAAAGCGAAGCTAACATATCCTTTTTTCTTGTAGGAGAAACGCTCATTACAACAGCTTACTGTAAAAAGTTATACTATTGAAATAAATTTCCTTTATGAAAAGAATTTGTTTTTAGTAATTGCCACGACTTAGTAGAGTGGAGAGGGTTACAAGTTTGACGTGCCACTGAAACAAGAAAACCTATTGGTTAGTTGTAATTCACTTTATTTACCAACTATTGTTCAGCTACTTCAAATCGGGTAGAAGAACCGTATATTTATTGACAAATAGATTTTTGCTTACTTTTTTTTTTCAAACTGACTATCTTCCAAATCTATAATAATGACTAGCTTCCGTATTTAAAATAAGTGAGTCAGTATTTTTAGTTTGGTGCTACGTCAAATAAATTATTTGTAAGAACGTAGTCTATATGAGCCTTTTTTTCTTACATTGTCCATAATAATAACTGAATATTTTGATTTACAAGTGTATGGGTTTAAAAAAAATTTTCTTCCCGTTTCTCTTTTTTTTTGAAGGTATAAAAACTGCTTTACTTTTTAATAGTGTAATAGCCTTTTAATGCACTGCATCGAAAGTCATAATGGTATGACTTGACTCCTACAAACTTTAATTTCTTGACCCTTCTGCTACTATAAGATAAGGGTAGTTTAAAGACATTTTCAAGTTTTCTTTTTTTTTTTTTTTTATAATTTAGATAGCAACTTTTGCAATTAACCATCTACCCCTTCGCTAAGAGTTTGCATACAAAATGAAGGTTAGTGCGCCCAATTTCCCATTCATAAGTACAAAAGGCTTTGCGTGCATCACGACGCGTTCGTCATAACTCGCAACCCTTTATCTTGCCGCACTTGGAGCAAGAATGCCAACACCGACCAAAATATGGATGCCTATAATATGATAGTTTGAATGCACTATGTATGCAGTCTAACAACTAACCACGTAATTTTAATCGGGAGACAGAGTACTAAGTTAAAATAGAGTAGTTTAAAAAGCTATATTTAGGATAGATATCAACCACTTCATGACTACCTTTCAGTGAGGAATGAGTAGGCCCACGAGGGCTTACAATTGCTAGAGCTAAGTTCTTCAGCTGAACATAGAACTTTCGAGGAACCGGCTAGCAGTGATAATAGTAAAATACCAGGAAGGATGTTTGGCATTTAAGTCACCTGCAGCGATCACAAATTCCGCCTTTTGAAATAGGATCTTTAATAGTGTTATTTAGATGTTTATTAGAAGATTTCCAAGTTAAAATTATCGAATTTTTTTTAAGGTAAGATGAATACAGCATCATCGCTTGCTTCAATCAAAAACAACTTACGTGTTACAGAAGGACCGTTATTAGTAATTACGTGACCGAAACATAAAAAATGACATATGGTTTAAATTCGTTACCGGGCTCTAAATTTGTTTTTTTTAAAAATTAATTTTATTATGGATAAATAATTTTAATAATACAGTAGGGACTATATAGGTTAAGTTACAGCTCACACGCAAAATATAGGAAGGGTAATTTCTTAAGTTAACTGCCACTATCTGTTAGCCGATAGCTCTGTGGAGTATACTTTCTTTTTAACCTCACATGAGAAACCCTTTAGAAGTTAAGGCTGAATGGTCTGAGTAAACTGTTTACCAGGGAGGATAATTTAAAGGAATGTAGACACCACTGACGCTATCACCAAACGCAATACACAAATGATAGGATAAACTTTTTTCGCATGACAGGTCATTATCTCTATTGTTGACTACAGTATGAGAAACATTGTCAGATAGGTATGAGGAAATGAACTATTAGAGTCAAGTTATAACCATAATCACTGCGGACCGCTTTTAATAAGTTTAAGGTAAGAATAGAAGGGATGCTTTTCTAGTTATAAGAAGAATAACTTAACTTTAAGAAAGGTGATAACGAAGATATCAGATATTTAATAAATGAAAAACTGTAAGTTAAGCGATCAAAATATTGAAGCCATTATGAAATTTTTGACGAGGTCTAACTGCTCTGTTAATGAGTTAAAAAAAGAAAAGTTGAACCTTAAACACCAGCCATTAAACTAGCCCTTGTTAAACGTTAAGTGAAAGGTAGGAATAACTGTCTAAAAATTGGTAGATTAGATGGTTTGGCGGAGAGGATTAATGCTCATTCCAATATTGTGTTGAATTACGAAGGATATAAAATTCGACAAATTTATTGACACCCTTTCAAATGACGGAATGTAAAAATTGTTAAAATTAATGTGCTTATGGAAAAGGGAATTTTTGAAGGGAAGGTTATTTATAGAGCCGTCATTAAATCAGCAGAAGCTTGGCAACTTACTGCTGTCAATATTAACAGTCTCATGTTTCTCTATTGGAGTTAACTGATAAATCGCCTACCATACCACGTGTTTGTACGTTCGCACGTGTCTTCTCCGTGCTTCTTACCTGTTTCGTTCCTGTTTCACTTTTTTTTTTTTAAATTTTTCCATTATAACAATCAATATATATAACAATCTTTTGCTACCAATTTAGAAAATTGCATCAGTCTCTATTTGTTTACCGCCAAGAATGGAAAAAGCACATGTAAAGTACTATAAATATTCATAAAGAGTGGCTTATTTTCTGTTCATCTCAGTTTGCTTTAAAGACCTTTTTATATGGATATTACTTTCGTGGTGTAGGTACACTTAAACAGGTACTCCCCTAAAGGTATACATACCCTTTAAGGGATAATATTTGACCGCTCCTCATCTTTTCCTCTTTCAGATTAATAGTCCTCTACACTGCCCACGGCAAGTCTTCAAGTTGAAGGTCGTCTTTCTCAAGTCCCTTCAAGTTCCTACGTTCCTAAAGACCGTGGCTTTGGACCTACGCTCTAAGAGCCCTCTTACTTTCCTGCGAAAGCTTTAATGAATATTTTGGCTAAATTTTAGAGACCCGCCTACGTCTTCTGCGAAAACCTAGCTGAAAATTTTAGCAAATATAGTTTATTTTCTTAATGATAACACTGTATAACAAGTGACTTAAATAAGTATATTAAATATTCCTTAACACCAAAAATAATATAAAATGTTTCTTAAACTTCCCCTGGTAATTACTACACACAGGGGAAAACCCCGTTAGCACACAAAGAGTGACCTAAACTTAAGAAGAGATGGAAAACAAAACAAAAAACTGCGTCCTACATGTGATCTTTATAAATTCACGCTAACCCTTAGCCCTCGGCCCCCAGGGGTACTAGAACAAATTAGGAGGAACTTAAATATACAAACTCTATTTTATACTAAGGCGGACAGAACTACCAGCCTGGGAAGCAAGGTTTCTTGAACTGGCCACTGTAAATGCGGTTGGGTTTTAAAGGATTTAACCCCATACGGCTGATACTAAGGTGCTTGAAAAACAGGCTGTTATACATACTCACCACCAATACCCCATCTTAAAGCATGGTAGTCGCTTCTACCTCAAGCGCACACTGTACCGCTTGGCCCTCCCGTACATGGATAAGTTAAAAAAGTGAGGGTGAAAGCGCCCCACTATTCTATGGTATCCACAGGAGGCTTTATCATTGATGAGGATATACTGGTTGCTTTTTTTTAACGGTCTATCAGACAAATACTCCAACGTCTTTATTATCTTAACTCCCAAGCTGAGTTTTTTTTTACAAAAGTTTTTACGGTCATCATCGTTAATAAGAAACTTAAGATGATTAGATTTGCAATGTGAATACTGTACATGCCGGTGAATGAGAAGATTCAAAAGCATGTCCTGTCTGGAACAAGAGTTTCTCAGAGTGTTCTAGTACGAAGTGTTTAAAGTGCCCGAGACCAGTACACACCCAAGCAGACTGCCGACCGTGCGATTCATGCCGAAGATATGGACATAACTGTACTTGTCCCAGAACTATTACTTTGTTACACTGTTTCATCTGAAACCTTCCCAAGTAGTGATTGGTTTAAAGTCACTCACGGATTAACATGGACTGTGGCGAAAAAATCCTTTTAAAAAAAGTTTAATTATTTTTAACTAAATATTGCTTTATAAATTCTCATTTTCAGCCTAAAGATACAAGCTACAATAATAATCTGTAGAGGTATACGATAAATATTTCTAAAGGTTCATACATAATTAACGACCCCCCTCTCTACAACGTGCACACAAAACCGCAGAGAAGTGTATGAAAAGCGCGAGAATTTCCTTGTTCCACCTATAGCTACCCTCGATAGTAATTACAAAATAATAATAATTCCAATGCCCACGGGGTAAGCTTCCACTATTAAAGCATAACGTTTCGTAGTATTGTTAGACATTACTCAGTAACTAAGTATGCGTGTCCTTTTGTAAATTACTATTTGTTTTTGGAAAATCTACAGTGTTATTTTTTTTTATTTTAAGAAATAAGTTTATAGTTTTTTCTTCTTTCGGTTTGGGTTATTAAGGTTGTCAAGGATTTTTTTTATTTCAACCATATTATTTGCCGCAGCTATCTTTTATTAAGAACCTGTTTATCTTTGCTTTTACTACCTACACTATTAAATACTTTTATCGTTTAAAGAAAACTAAAAAAATATATAACTCTTGAAGATTTAATATTTGCTGAAGCTTCGTATAATATGAGTTATTTTTGTTTTTAGGGGCGTTAGTGTTATTTTAGTTAATTATTAGTTAGAAGCTTTTAATTTTAAAGTAATTATCAGCATATATAAGAATAAAATGTAAATTATTTAATGATTATATCAATAAGTTATTAAAGAACTTAGTATTGTTTTCTTATAATTTTGTATATTTTGAAAGTTTGATCTGTAGCTTTTGAGGTATGATTATCCCTGTGCGCTGTTTTACTTGTGGAAAAGTAATTGGAAACAAGTGGGATACTTATATTAACTTAGTTAAAAATGACCAAGAGGCGTATGTTTTACTTTTTATCATTTTTAACTCGCTTACCTTTGGATTTATTTAACTTTTTTAATAAATTTTTTTTATTGGATTGCCTTACAAACCCAATTTATAATCTATCTAAAAATATTTTTATGAACTTTTTAATTAGTATACTTTAAAAATTTTTTCTAATAAAATTTTTTTTTAAAATGTTTTATAAACCCTTTTCATAACCTTTTAAAAAAATGAAGTGTTTACCTGGTGTATTTAATAATTAATTATAGATTCCCTTATAAATTTTAGTTTTCGTTGGATTAAAATAATAGCATATAGGATAGTCTTTCGTGCTAAGATAATTGTTTTTGGAATTTTTTTAACTTAAATATTTTCAAGGAACGCTTAATTTATTACTGGGAATTTTGCTTTTTTAGACGTAAACTCCGAACTAATTAATTAATTTTTTTATACGGCATTAAGCGCCCTATCTTTATATTATTTTGTATATTTTGTTACTTTATTGCTTTACACTTTATAAGTGTATTGATTTTTTTTATATTTTAAAACATTTTACTATATAAAAAATTTGTTTTTAATTCACTATATATTTTTACAGACAAACTTTTTTAATTATAGTTTTTAATACTTTCTGTGGGTGTTTAATTTTTTGGATTATTTTAAAGTCTAATTTTTACGAAATTTAGTGATGCTCTTGATTCTTTGCGTCTAAAACGTTACTGTTGCCGCCGAATGGTTCTCACTCACGTGGACCTCATCATCAAACTTATTAAATATAACGGTTTTATATTTTATACTCTAAATTTTAAATTTTTTAATTTTTTTAATTATAAATAACGATTTTTCTATTTCTCTACTTTTAGAGCGAAGTTGATTGTCGTTGCTGTTCCCTGTTATTAGCAGGAACAAATTTGATTTTTAATTTTTAGTATAAGTTACAGGAACGTTTAATATTATGTTCTATGTTATTTTTATTAAATAAGACTTTTTGCTTTTTACTATTTACTTTTTTAATTTCAAAATTTCCTCTATCCTTACATGGAAATTTTTACTTAATTTCTCGCTTTTGGTTATTTTTATTATTAGATTTATAAGTTAAAAAAGATTTGAACTTCTTTTAATTTGAAGCTGTTTCCATTGAGGCAAAGCATAATACTTTTCTTTGCTCATCTTGAACGCTGCATTATATAATTTATTATTAGTTCTATCGCTTGTGGACATTAATTACTATACTAAATTTATTGTAATTTCTTTTCGAATAACTATTTTTTAAGTAAAAGTAAAAGTCGTGGTACCCTTTTCGAATTCGTCATCTTGGAGACTGTCTTCTCTCTTTGCGGGGTCGACGCCTGGCGGGAGTTTCGCCAAGTCAACTCCTAATTCTACAGAAATACAATTCAGTAAAAATAGTGAAACCGTTTCTTGAATAGCGCATGAATGCCAGCAGTTCTGGCTCCCGTACGCCCGGCTTGTAGTAGAAAGTCACCTTCTGCAGCATACTTTTTGCCCCCTTGTAATTCTTGTAGCGCTTCCGCTACATATGCTGATGCGGTCTTCCTGTAGATGTTTTCATTTGCGCCTTTTTTTATTTTCTTCTGGTGCCAATAAAATAGTGGATGTGGTTATGTTATGTATATTTATATGTTGGAGTACTTTTGTTTTTTCGTCATTCCACGTGATAAACAATGCCTTAAAAGAAAGTGGTTCTTCTCCAGAATAAACGATGGTTGCGCGCATGTTGAACTTATTTCTCGCTACTTCTTTTTTTTTCACATCTAATTTATAAACGTGCGAGCTCCTGCACATAAAAGAGCGATAACTACTGGCGAATGCGCTTACGTTGTTCCAAATTGTGTGCAGTTTTTATTGCCAGCTGGTAGCCGTATTGACTGGCATTGCTTCCTACCCACACGAATATGGCATAAAAGCAATCAATGATATAAACTGCTTGACTTTCGAAATCTTTTTGTGTCGGCTGCTCAAGTTCTTGTGTCTTGATATTAATATTAAAAAAAAATCGTTTGAAGCCGTAATTAGTGAATGACACGTTTTTGAAAGACTTTTTTTTACCTTTGGCTCGCCTACATGCTGGCTTATATGCCACATGCGTAGATATTTTGACATTCCAGGCTCTTTTAAGAAAAGATCATTGCCATAACTCTCCTTGCTTCCTAAAATTAACATATTAAACTTTGTCAACGCAAAGCGTACTGAATTTTATTTTATTTTTTTGCAATGACAAATAATTATTATAAACTTACCGAAAAAGTCAATAAACTCTTTGGATTCGTTTCCCTCATGAAGCTCGATTGGTGGTACGTGCTGTATGTATAGCGTAAGAAATCTCTTTCCATAAAAATAAACTTGAATTATCACTTACACTAACTAACTTAGCGACTTTATGGGCGTACCCTATAACTGTGTTGCTACTGCCGTCACCCTTCCAAATCCATGTTTTATCTTTACTTACCGCGATAAATGTAGCGTTGGAAGATAAACTCGAAAATTTCTTTAGATATTATCGGAAAAAAAAGTTAAGTTGCTAGCAGTAAATTAATAATAACTTGACTTTAATAATGTAGCATGCCCGACAACCATTACTGTTTTCTAAAACTTTATATAAACGATCGATTTTCTTATCTAAGTATCTGCTTCCTTCTTCAACACAAAAGCCGTTCCTTTTTTCAAAAATCTAATATAATAATAAAAGTAATATTAAATTATCTACTAACTAAGATTAGCCTACTTTCAAGAAGTGTTCATTTTCTTTGTTTTGCTCAATATTTATATGTTTAGCTCCATATTCTTGATTAATTGAACAAGCTTGAACACCTGCAGCTCCCAAGTCGTTCTATTGGCGTTTTAATGATGGTTGTCATTTACATTTTAATGCATTTTATTTTACATTGTCGAATGCGAAACTAAAAATTTATTGAAAATTATATATACTTTTTAAGAAATTGTTTGCCACTCAACACTCTTTAGTTACTATGAAAGCAAGTAACTATTTTAATTACTATGATTTTTCCTTACCGGTCTCCCTTTTGCACCTCTCCATATATACAAGATAAACTCTTCCGCCTTATCAGAGCGTTTATATAGCACGAGATAGCTTTCCTCTGCAAAAAATTGACCGAACTCTATTTCTTTTATCTCCGTAATAACCTTTTCTGTGCAGTGCCACACCTGGTGCGCGGATGGATATGGTCTTTAGGTTTCTATTTGCAGAAGCAAACCTGCTTTTGTACCTTTAAACTGCCCGTGCCATCATCAAGTGCTGTAATAAGTTTTGTGTCTTCCTTGAGCATTTCGTTTACATCAATTTCAGTAATAGACTTTTTCTCTAAGTAAAATGGAAAAATATATGAGATTATTGCAGAATTTTGAAGGTCTCTTTCTTTAAAGTATAGGAATTATATTTATACCAACAGTGGAGACACCAAGGTTCTTTTGACCAAAAGCTGGCTTAGCAGAAAAAGTACTTTGATCAGACCTTATAATATATAGTTTTCTAAATTAGTATATGAAATTTTATTTAAAAAAGATTAAATTTTCTTTTAAGTTATTTAGCAGAATTATAATAATTTTAATTTATTTTTTATTCCTATTTGTATATTATATTTTTCCAGTAATATTGTATATCCCCAAGCAGCAAGTAGAAAGGATAAAAAAAAATTGGATTACCAATCGCTAAAGAATTCTCTAAAATAGGTGGGCTCTCCTTTGTCTATTATAGTCCCTGCGAAAAGGTTAGTACAAACAAAGCACCTACAGAGCGAAAGGGTAAATGCTTACTAACTGGTGCCCAACTCCTACTTGTAATTTTAGATTGTAGTTGCTTTACAATAAAATAAAAAAAAAAAACTGTTAGACAATTATAAAAATATAAATATATCCTATGGGATTACAGTTGCGAAGTCAGCACACTCTTTGCGTGTTTCAATATCGGCATTTGCACCATTCCATATATAAAGGGCTTCCCCACATTTGATAATATAACACTTTGAATTGTTCTAGTAGAGAGTAATTCTAACTAACAAGCCTAAGAGTATAAGGAGAGTTACACTCCCTTTATATACCAGCATTTTTCTGCTAGGCGATGCAAGCTTTTTACTATGAAATTCATTATCGCTTTCTTTTCTAAAAATATTAATTTATGATAAATAACAGCTTTTCGTTTAAAAAGTAAGCAATTGAACTATAACTCATAAAAATCTCTGCTTTCCATGTAATTACGTTCATAGATTTCATCTGCATCATCATCGACATCAGGGATATTTGATTTGTCACCTGTAATTATGCAATAACAATTTTTAGCTAACAAAAAAATATTATAAATCTTACCTTTTAAGGCTTCCCAAAAGCTTTGTTCCGATTTTATGGTAGAATTGATACCATCATCCTCGACATTAACTACTTTTCCTGTACACTAACTTAATGACGAAAAAAAAAAAGGAAACTCGGAAAACTGTACCTCTCCCAGCATAGTCCTGGTCTTTCATTTTCTGGCACAAATTAACTGCATACCCATGAATAAGGCGCCGGGCATTTCTCCCTTTAAATAAAAACAAAGTTCCTTTGCCGTCGTCTAAATAATTATAACTGTCATTAATATATTATAATTAATATTATTAATAATATATAAATGTTACCTAAGATAAAAACGTCATAATGGTTTAAAGACTGAATATTTATCTCCACTTCAGAAACACGAATTTTTTTTTTCCCCTTAAGCTTTAATAAAATAGGTTCATGCTTAAACTGATCCTGTTGTAAGTTTTATAGATCTAAAAAAATTAACGTCCGCAGCAATCCTAATGTAAAGTAACCTTAGTAGATTTTAACTCGTGGGTCCCTTTTTTAATAGCTCCGAGTATTTTTTTGCCAGTAATTACCTCAGGGCTCAAACCAAATTTAGAGAGTTTTTGTTTGTTTTCAGAGTCAAATAAGTTCTATATTTTTTAAACATAATATATTACTAAGTTAATAAATTTACTTTTAACTATTACCACTAACTTATAAGGGAGGATAAGCTTACCAGCATCAGAGGTTTGGCACAGCCAAACATTCTAAGCTTAAACAAAATATCTAACTTTAAATTCATGTGGTATTCTTCTTATACTTTATATTCATTTAAGTGATTACGTATTCCATTAATATTAAGATTTTAATACGAAAAGCAAAAAAAAAACTTATAACAAAGTTGATAGAATATACAATAGGCTATCCACTATTTTTTTTTAGCTATTTGCGCTGTAATTTTTCCCAGCCGCTATTAGGCTCAGATTGTGCATAACTATACTAAATTAACATAGGCGTAAAGCTATTCTACAAATTTTTTTATGCTTAGTAAGCAACACTAATTGTATTACCTCACCCTTATCTAAAATATCCATATACTCAGCGAATGAGCTTGAATGAGGACGAATAAGAGATTCTGGTGTAATTAAAGTTTTGTTTTTCATTATTAAAATTGTTTAGTGTGTATTTCGTAAATAAAACGTTACTTACCAATTACTTTTTTCTGTTCACATAAAAGTCCAGTATAAGCGTGGGGAGGGATAACAGTAAGTATATAAAATAATGTTTTATCCCATTATTACTTAATTTCATGAACTTACCCTGGGTTTAGGAATATTAGCATCATCTGCGTACCCACTTTTGATTGCCCCTGTAATTTCTCTTTGATGGAGGAGTCTTGCAGCATTAGCTACAATTGTTAATATAACATCATAACTTGTATAAATACGAGTGGCGCTACCCTGTTAGCTCAGGGCTACACAAATACCTTCCGACTTATTATTCCGCCTAGGCTTTGGAACTTTTTTTTTTAACCTCTTAAAATTAAATAAGAGGTATGTATGTAACATGATATTATATAATAAATTTAGCTTTCTTACGATAAAATTATCTGTTTGAACTCCTAGAGAATCATCACAAATAAGGGTTAGGTTAGAGTCCGTCCAATCTTAAGATAAAATGTAATTTAGTATAAATCGGTTTGACTCCACTGTGGATAGGACCTGTTCTGGGAGGTTTTTCTTTTTGCGGTAAAAATTCACCTTCTTTCGTTTTAAGTTCCTCATACTTAATATCTACTAGTTTTGGTGAGGGAGTTGATTTTTCCCATCTTTCTTTCTTCGATTCTTTATTGAGTTGCCCTAGCTCATAATTTTTATTGTCAATAGACATATCGCTTGTCTCTAATATTTTTTTTTCCGTATCTGTTTCCTCCCGTTTGGTAGGCTTTTGTTCTGGTACGCTATCTTGCTTTGGTGCTTTGCTTACTTTCTCACTTAATTCTGGAGTTTTAGGGATCCCCTTACATATTAACTCTTTATTGCCTGTATTCACTTTTATATTATCGACCTTTTCCTTATTAGCAGCTCCCTCGAGTTTTTTATCTGATGTGAATTTAGTAGCATCTTCTCCCCTGCTTTTCTCTCCTTCTTTCGTAGTACTATCGGTGTTATCCATCTCTTTTTTAATTTTACTTTTTGAACTAAGTTCTTCTAAGTCACTATGCTTTTTTTCACCTAGTCTTTTTTCACTACTCTCCTCTAATTTTTTTTTGGTTTTTAATTTATCATCAAAACCTGTTGTACTTATATTAGTCTCCTTCGAAACCTTGTACTTAGAAAAATTTATAACAGACTGACTCTTTCCATCTTCTGCACGTCCTGAATATTTTTTAAGCTCTTTTTCACTAATAGTACTATTGTTTTGGGGGTTTTTAAAGTTTTCAGGTTTTGTTTTTTTTAAAACATCGCTATTATACATATTTACTCCATAACCCTCAACTTGTTCATCGGGTTTACCCTCTTTTTGCTTAAAAAAATTCCGATTAGTGGGGCTCGCTGCACGTTTTGATAAACCCCTCCTCAGTTCTTCAATTTCATTTTCTTTTACCTTTAATTCTGCCAGCCTTTTTTCTCGCCGAGCTTTTCTTTCGTTTCTTTTTTTTTCTAACTCTTCTAATTCTCTTTCCAGCTAATAACAGACATATTAAAGGTGTAGTAGGAAAGTAGAAATAAATTTTAACATAAATCATTAATTATTAAACTAAATTCTTATATTTTTAATTTAACGGTACAATATTTAAAGCTAATAAGAAGTATTTGTAAAGAGTATATTCTTAAAGACTTAGATATGTGCAAGCGCTAAGATTTTAGCAAAAACTAGAAGTACATAAAAAATTTCTAGTATCTGCTTTTTCAAAGTCCATGATATTGTGCATTTAAACATAAATTACCTCTTGCCAGCATTAACAAATGTTTTTGTTGTTATGTAAGTATATATATCTACTATAAAAAAAGTTACCGCTATCATTTTTTGCTCATAGGTGTCCTTCTTCTCTAAACCTTCCATCGAGTATACTTCGTTAGTGTAACTTCGGTAGCAAGTAAAATTGCAAAACTTAGTTTAAAATATATCTATTTAGCAAAAGTACACCTTCTATACCGACGGCTAAACTAAGGCTTAAAGTAAGATCGCTAAATATATTTTACAATACCACTACCTTTATCCTTTCACCTTGTAAATTTTTGTTAAATAATTACTGATCCGCATAATCAGATCATTAGCTTATATTGCTCCTTTTTTAAAGTTGCTCCTTTTTTAATTAAGCAAAGGACGCATGAAAATAAGCAATTATAAATTTTATCTAAGTATAGTTGTTAGCCACATGAAGTGAGATCAATTTGTAAACAAGTTAAGGATTGCGCGCTAGGTTTTGGAAGGTAAAAAGCCAATAACTATTTTTTTTTCCTTTCCAAAACAAACGCAAAACTAAATATAGAAATCAATGTCTATTTTTTTTAAAAAACTAGTTACCGAAAATATATTGTTAGAGGAATGTATAGAAAAAGCTTTATAATTGGAAAAGGCTAGAAAGACACCATCCTTCTTCGGTTCAATTTAATTAAATTATTTAACGTCCTCAAAAAAAACAGAGTATAATAATTACACCACTGGTCACTTTGGGAGGAATGTGCTCATGACCACTCATTACTAAATACATTTAACTAAAAACAAAAGTCCGAAACTTTTAAAAAGGGAATCGTTTTTATGTATGCTAAAACCAATGATACAGTGATGTGGGCCAGCTTGGCGGTAGCAACGAGGTCTGCTCACCAATATTTTTTTCGTGAGTGTTGTTGCCCTAGACGTGAAATATGTTTTAAAATAAGTCATGTTAATAAAAAAGTCCTCACTGTTAGTAAGTTAAATTAGGTTTTTAGAAATTTTTTAGCATATCCTACGGGATTATCTTATTTTTAACTGTACACTGATGTTTTTTTCAATTTTTTTTGTAAGCTCAAGTTATATATACTTTTTACTGGTGATATTTTGATACCTCTTACTATACCACTGTCAGCCAAACTGTATTGCTTTCGGACTTCACTAAATTTCATTTTTTTGAGTCTTACTTCATCTGTTTAAAATAATAATACCCATAAAATTGCTAGCTATAGTTGAAAATAATCATTCAGGTAGAAAATTTTTTGTATTTTTTTTGTTTATTGTGGTAAGCCTTCTTTAAAATAAAATTACACAATAATTATTTGGTACTTGAGTATAACTAAATATATTGGGTAATATCCAGCAAAAAAAATTGTGATGCGCCCAATGCGTAACTTACTTTTTTTTTATTAATTTGTAAACGCGCTTAAAATATGAGATATTAAAACAAAGTAAGCGTTATATATCTTATAAACTTTAATAATGATAGTTTAAGTAGCTTTGCCTTGAGGGCTAAGTATTAAACGATTAAGGCTTCCCTTCTCAGTGAGAAGGGGATACCTACTTATTAATTTTTTACCTTGCCTTTTTAAACCAATGATAAACACCTTTCCTTTCTTTCATACCATAAGGTAATAATAGAAAGAAGAAAGTTGCATTATGACATATAAACTTTATTATTGATATACAGTGAGCCATATTTTTAACTAAAAGTGGTTTAATAAAACCAACGTCACTGATAATACCCCGGCATAAGAAGGGATTTATATATAATTCTCAGTTTACTATATTAAGTGCTTATAGCGAGTATACAAATTAAAATATTTTCTTTATTTACTCAATTCTCATATAACTGGGTCACAGCCACAGTTGTCATTGTGAAATTACTTAGGATAGCATGGTGAGGAAAAAGTTGTTATTGTTTCCATCAAGTAAATTATATAATTCAACTTTTCTATTCAGGTTTTTATTTTTTAAGGTTACTGAGGAACAATACAATATTTATTAAAAACCTTGCCTAAATAAACATTGTGGCTGCTATTATTTAAAGTTTTATCCCAAATTAGCAAGTTATATTAATTGTTCTTCAATCAGTAAGAGAGTAATATTAGATTCCCGTTATATAATAAATTTATTACCAGAGGACCAAAATATAGTAGTGGTAAAAAGTAAATGTTTTTCTTAAAAAAGCTGTTTTTCTTTAGATTTAATTTTTTTTTTTTTTGTTAACTAGTGAAAAGCTCGGATGGGGGTAATAACCTGCTTAATCTTCTTAATACTATGGAAGATAATCTTAATAACTCAAATTTGAATATTAATGACGATTACTGTGATGGTAGTAATTATTATAGCATTATATTAATTGTTTTTATAGCGTAAGGATTTAGTTCTAATTTTTAAAATAATAAAACGTCACTTATAGCTTGCAAGGGCATTATATCTAAAGGAGAAAAAAAAATAATTGCTAATAGTGAAAGTTTCCATGAGAGATGTTTCCAATGCTCAAGTTAATCTAATTTTAATCACATTCGTTTTAGTTAACTTTAGTTTATTCCCAAGAGTGTCAAAAGATTTTAAAAGATGATCCATACTATATGTGTAACAAAGAAAGAGTATGTGAAGCTTGTTATAACTCTTTTGTTCTTATCAATTGCGCTAACTGCAAAGAAAAAATTAGAGACCGGTAATCTATTTATTTTAGAAATCTATTCATTAAGTATTGTTTTATTTTAGGAAAATTACCTATAAGGACAATTCTTACCACGTTCAGTGTTTTACGTGTTCAGAATGCCGTACCCCCTTGGATGGTAAAATAGCAAAGCCGAGTCCTTTTATTTATATACCTAATCTTTATTTGATTAGGCATCTCCTTCAAGGAACTAGGTGGTAATACTTTCTGTAAAAAATGTTACAATACTAAGTTCTGCCCCGTTTGCACGGCGTGTAACAATAAAATAGTTTTTGAAGAAAACAAGATAGTGTATATGAAGGTTATTATAATTTTACTTAAAAAAATTATAATTGCTAGCTTAAAATGTTTAGGTTGATGATTTTTATTGGCATACTGGTTGCTTTAACTGCACAAAGTGCAACAAAAATTGTGCAGATGCTCCTGAAAACTTTACTCACGTAATAATAGATGAAAATAATAAACCAGCTTGCTACTGCCTTGACCACTGCTTCTGTTCTAAGTGCGAAACTAATAAAGCTAAAGATAACTAAAACATCTTAACGAATCAGTCATATAACATGAACTGAAAATGACTGATAGTAAATGTTCTATATCCTCCCTTCATTATATTACTCGTTCTTTCTCCCTTTCAACAAAGTATATTTTAGGTTTCATAAGTTAAAAAATAACCGATAATATTGAACGCTTCGAGGCATTACTGATATTTCTAATGTGACTACACTACAATTTAGGAGGGCTCAAGTTAAATAGACTAAAAACCCTTAAAATATTTACCGGGTGTTGTTACCTTTTTAAATATTGTTTTACTTTGGCTTTCTGCACTCAAGCTTCCTTTTTATGAAAGCACGATTTCAAGTCTTAAGTTTTGTAAAGATATCAGTAGCTCTAGTAAAAGAAATAGAAGAAATGACCTATTTTATTTAAAGTTGATTTATACTTCTTGCAAGCTCTTAACCCTTAGTGTTCGTACTTAGCTTCTCGAAATTATAAAAAAAGTTACTTGATAGAAAATTAATGGAAGCGAGAGGGAAGGGGGTGGTGTACTTAATAAAATTATTATATAAGCGTCAATTATTTATGAGATAAAGGAGGTAATAATTAAAACTGAAAATAAGACACTTTAAAGGTTATTTTTATGAGGTAAGGCGGTGAAGTATTTTATAGAGGAGCGAAAGGAATGAATAAAAACGTCTTCTTTATAAATTTATTGTTATTAAAAAAATATAGCTTACAGCAAATGCCACCCTTCTAGAACGGGAAATGTTAGTTGAGTTAACTAGAAAGTAGAGCGACGTAATTGGCGATACGGAGAAAACCATTTGGTATAGTTAAAAGAGAAGTCACCCAAAAATCACGTGCTATTTAATCATCATATCAGTAAAACAATTTAAATGAAAAATAAACCACCTCTCATCCTAAATGAGTGTGAACAGCTGCGATTCTTCCAAAGGATACAATGGCGCTATCTAACATCTCGTTGCTTAATGGATTGTTATAATTAGGTTATAGCCAGAAATACTGTCTTTCTACTAATGTGCGTAATCAAGTAGCACTAGCCATACGTAGTTCTGTTACTGAATGGCTTAATTTTACTGAGTAATAACCTAAATGGAATAGGATATTTACGTGGGACAATTTGTTTACTTATAAACACATTTAGTTTCTCCTTCGCTAAGCGTCGAAAATATGGGAAGGCTAAATTAGTTTTTTTTATTGCTATGACTGTTTTTAGCTTAAAAAAATTCAATTGAGTTTTTTTCCGTGAAAAATGAGCTATTAGTTAACTAAGGTGAGTTACGTATTGGTGTTAAAATACCTACTGCTAACAGTAAGTGCGAAACTGGAGTGAAGCCAAGTGTAAGAGCAGGTTTTTACTTTTTTTATTTACCTATCTCCGTACCTAAACTTTTATGCTAATTCTATGTTCCACCTTAGTAATGTGGTACAATACAGAAAAATATTATTACTTTGAAAAACTTAAAGTGGTTAAAAAATCGAACCCGGCCTATCCGTGGGTTTAACCTTCAAAGGTGGAAAACATAAAAATTGCAACTACTAAAGGCGTCCGTAGATAGAAAAGCCTCCCGAACTCCCATCCTATGTTTAGGGTTAAAAGTTTATCTACATTAGTTTTTTGAATTTCTGTCAAAAGCTATGGTGTCCAGCTTATTAGCTGCACATCGTAATTTCTACAATCTCAGTCTACGCATTAAACTTTGGTATTGTTCCTTTGCTTACAATTTGTATTTAAATATGTAGAAACACATTAAACAAATTGTAAATCCATAAAATCACCTAAAGAAAGTCAAAAGGTATAATAATTAAACGAATTTAAAATTAAAATTTTTCAAAAAAAAATTTAATTTAAACTTTGTATATATAGTTTTTAGGGTAATATTACTCTTGAAGGTCGCTTACTAATTAATTTTTTTTCAGTGTTTGTCAGGCACTTATAATCTGTCATATGAAATTTATTTACCTAATTTCTATTATGTGGCACAACTTTGTATTAAAAATAGAAAAAACGCTTTGTATCTAATTACGTCTATGGTAACGCTTACTAATGTATGCTAAGTTCCGAGTAGAGGTCAAAGCTACTCGAGACAAATCACTCTTTTGTTGGTTACGTTTACAATAAGCTGGTAAAATACGGTTAGACTTTGGTAATATAGTGTTTTTAAGTAAGCAGGAGTTTTTGGACCTTTTCTTCTAGGCTATTTTTTTATAACTCTTTTTTTTCCCTTACATTTTCAGAAGGAATATTTTTAAAATGTGAAAGTGAAGGGAAACAGAAAACATTTAGATGATCACTTTATGGAATATTAATATTAATTTTTAATAAGGAATAGTGGATTCTCACTTGCGATTGGGTGTGTACGGTTCGTGAGAGAAAGCTAAAGCTTTTAGCTGGATGGCATAATTTTTGCGGTTCTACGAATTAAGTAATTGTTATGCGTTTTTCAATCTGAAGAACAAATCGTTACATTCGAGTTTAATGAAAAAGCCGAAAACTGTATTAAGGCTTTTTATATGAAAGCAACAAGCTAAAATGTCGAGTACTTTTTTTGTTGCCAATTTGATTTCAGTGCTGACGTGGGACAAAGTTTAAATCTTAATTCTTTTATTATTGATGTAAAAGTTTGAATTTTTACGGATAGTTCCTTTCAGCCTGACTTTGTCTTACACGAGACTTGGAATAATTGTACTACTATTTATTAGCTGAGTTTGGCTAATTTTTATTTATATAATTTTATATATATTAGAGAAGTTTTTAATAGCATGAAAGCTTGTCATGAAATAACGATTTCGTATTCTTTAAAGATTTATAAATGTTGTGTTTGCAAAAATAGCCTATGGCCATTCTTTAAGTTCGCAAGATGCCAAGGTTTTGAAATAGTATTGAAGTCATGCTAATTTAGTTAGTAATGCTTATAATAAGCTTGTGAACTGCGATTGCATTGTAATTGTCAAAGCCAGTTAAAGCATCTTTGTCGGCCGATTCAGGGTGGGATTAGCAGCTCCAGTGAGCATTCAGTGGTGATCGCAATAAATTCTACAGCAAAATTATTATCAGCTTTTTTTGATATTTGTAAACTTTATCTTATAGCGTGCCAATCCAATAAATTTCCTGGAAACCAATCTTCAAGTAATTTATATTTATATATAAAAACAGTCGGTACGAATTATAATTCTTGTAATTAAAATTTATACAAACTTAATATATTAAATATTTAAAAATATTTAAATAAACTTAAGGCCTAGAGATGGAGTTGTAGCAAACTTAGTTATACAATTTATAAATTTATGTACTATTTTATATAACTTTGTTTATTTTTGTTTATGAAAGATTGATATTGCTACGGCCTCAAACGATTTTTCTATTAATAATTATCGAGTCTTGAAATTAATAGCGCGAGGGTCATTTGCTACTGTATACTTAGTAAAAGATAAAGTTTCTGGTAATTAAATTTATTAAAAAATTATATTTTCTTTTATTTGCTAAAGCAAAAGTTTTTAATTTTTTTAAGAAAGTAGAATTGCGTGAACTAATTTTTATTACACGTTTAGGTGATTTGTTTGCAATGAAAATTTATTCAGAAGAAAAGGCTCAAAATATAGATTTAGGCTTTGGCATTTCTTTGACTGCAGTTGCTAATAACGAAGTACACAACAAAAATAATTTTTATTAATATAATTAATTTTTTTTAAAAAAATTAAAAAATTTAAATAGATTGAAATATTGTCTTCTTTGGATCATCCGAATATAATACAGTTACTGGAAGTTATCAAAAGTGGGAATCAAGATTGGTTGTGTTTAGGTTTGTTATAATAATGATAATAATAATAAATAATAAATAATAATATATAGTTTTCGAACTCGCTAACGACCACATATTGACTAGCCAGAAAGCCATTGAGCCGCCTATGAGCGAGAAGCAAGCCAGAAATATATTTATCCAATTAGTAAAAGGAGTTGAATACAGTAAAATTTTAGCCCTTTTTTAATAGCTGTTACATAGATACACGCTTGGTTAAATATTTAGTCGAAAAAGTTTAATTGGTGGTCGCCTTGCGTTTCGCTCCATAATTTATTCGTTCTTCTACTATTATTATTATTGTTATTAGTTTCATCTATTACTAGTAGATCTGCATTAAATTTAATGATATTATATCCACTATTTTTCATACATTTAAATGACAAAGTGCATAAAAATTCTATAATCCATTGCGATATCAAACCGGAAAACTTACTTTTCAAGGATAACGTTTTGAAAATATGCGACTTTGGAGTTATTTATTTATTATTACTATTACTATTATTATTATTACCATTCTTATTATTTAGATAAGCCAACGAATTATTTCCGGGTCGAGCGTGAAGTTAAGAGCTCAAGGAACTCGAGCTTTTTTCCCTCCGGAAATGTGCAACTCAAATAAGGAGGAAATTGAAGGGGCCCCATTGGATATTTGGGCAATGGGTATCTCTATCATTGGTTTATTAAAAAAGTTTAAATATTTACGGTTTATGAAAATATATTTTCATTACTTTTATAACAAAATATAGGGGGATAAAGTCATTTTTAAATTTATTATAGGCGTCACTCTTTACTACGTGGTTTTTGGGGTTCTTCCTTTTCAGGGCGACGCCGTTTTAGAGTTATACGATTCAATATGCAACTCAAAGTATTATCATTATTATTATTGCAGTTATATTATTCATTATTTTCATTTTTCCTTATTATTTATCGTACAGATTGACTTTTCCTGAAAAATGTTCAGCAGGTTTAAGAAATCTTTTAGAGGGAATGCTCTGGAAAGACTATACAAAGAGAATGACTCTAAAAATGATCAAGGTAAAGCAGTGAGTTATTTTAACTAGTATTTTGGTTTCATGTTAATTTAGGCACATGAATGGCTGAATATATAAATGTGAAGTGAAGGCAATAATTATAGTGATAATAAAGTTTATATGAGTTGTTAGTTATTTGGAAGCGCGCAACTCTACTAATAGTCGAAGTTTTTCTTTAAGATTTGTATCAGTTATAGTTCGACAGTTAAGCAAACTGTTTAGCTGTTTTTTTGAATAATCCTTAAAATATATGAAAGAATTAAAAAATAGTGAATTACAAAACAAAAATTATAATCACCGAATTAGTTAAAATCCAGTTTTCTAGTTCGCTTTCTTTTATATAAAAAGCCTGAAGAACGGTTTATATAAGAAACTAAGAAAGCCAACATTTTATATATTCATTAAAATTATGTTAAGCAACAAAAGAAAAAGTTTGCATTATTATTATACGTTGATGTATTCTTCTGCGAGTGAAAAATAGGGAACGAGTTTGGGCGAATAACACTTTTGTAGCTTTGACTTAAACTGAGATAAGTCGAGCTTCATTAAAGCTCTACCTTCATTGGTGCACTAAAAATATGGTAATTATTGGTATTTTTGGAATTTATATACAACAATCACGTGAATATTACCTTTTCCGACATTGAGAAACCTTCGACAAATACGAGCATTGCATTCCGCAATGCTTGTGCCCAAACGACTTTTTTATGTCGATGAGTTATACTTTTTAATATTTTAGTTAGTAAATATTAACAACTTTTTTATGAGCAGAGCGTGATGAAAAGTTTTATGACGGAAATAATAAGGAACAATAATAAAATAAATAATAATAAACAAAAAATAATGAAAATATACGCCGGAAACCTGTAACATTAATAAAAAAAATTACCGCCATTAGCCAATCGTATGCAAAATAATGCTAAAAGCCAAACTAAGTTTTGATTGGGAGTTTTTATAAAGTTAATGTGTATTACATAATAGTCATTAATTACTATAGCTTTGTGAAGCCAGTCAAATGAGAAAACTAACGGTTATAAGCCAATAGCATAGAAACCTCGTCTGTTTATAGAGCAACACGTGGAAAGCGAAGAGTTCGTCAATCATTTTGTCCACGTAACGATTATGTTGGGACCTTCGTTAAAAAGCAAGATAACAAGATTTACCTTTTATAAAGAAGCAATGTTATTGGTTATCACAAAGCTGATGGCTACCCGACGTGATTTAGATCCCAGTTGCACGTGCGCATCTCGTTCAAAACTTTCTGTTAAAAAAAATAATGATTGCTGAACTTCTATACATTTTCTTTAAAGTACGTCGAAATTTATTATTTTTGATAACACGTTACTGTAGCAAAAAAGAATTAGTTCTGGTATCACAGAAACCTAAAAGAAAAAAATATTAATATAATAAGAGAAAGGGTAATAAAAAAATACTAAAAAATTGAAAAAAAAATTTGTAGAAAGAAAAACCGATAGACAGTGTAGTTTAGGAGGAACAAGCTGGTGATATAAGAAAAGTTCGTTGACAATTTCCTGACTAATAAATATAGTATGTAAACTTTCTTTTTACTTACTATGATAGTAATGTTATGTGATAATAGTATATAATAATAATAAGCATAGTTTGTCTACCTTGCATTGAATAGGTCTTTGATAACATAAAGAGACTCAATTCCGATTATTCGATAGGAAAGACCGTAAATATCATGAGGACTATATTAAAGTATAAAATATAAACGTTTAATAAAAAGTAAAATAATAATTATGACACTAACTTATTCAAAGTTACACTCGATCTCCAGTTTTCAAAGCATTCAAAAAAATTATTGCAATGAGCTTGGAAAAGGTCGGATGTCATAATTTTGTAAAATCTATATTTTTGTTTTATAATTGACGGGATCGGTTGTTTTTAGCTTTTTCATTAGTTTATTGGTTAGAAACCTTTTCAAGGCCATTTTCATTTTGGCTGACTTCACAAAATCTGTCGAAAAAAAACATCAACACCATTTTAAAGTAGAATATTTTGTGGCTATATTAGTAAGTGTCGATATTATTATTATGCAATACCAATTTTTTTTAAAACGCTATAAGCGCATCTATTGATTGGTTTAATTTATCACAATGACTCTGCGCGAGTCAATTAAAAATACAAATTAAAAAACTGTACTCTCATTGGCTGTGCTGTCCTCAAAGTTTTTAACAAGATCATGACTGTTTTCCATTAGAGGATGCTGTAGTTCGTTATAATTAGTCATCGCTTTCTTTGTTTTTATTGGTTAATTTAATTTTATCAATCTTGTATGTTTATATTTCTTTATTTATTTACTTTTTTATATATAATAATTGCTTTTCCAACTATTCACAACCTTAAAACCACTTTTAATATTTACATATTATCGACGTATTTTTATGAAAATGATTATTTTCCGTCACTATTTTTTATGTACCGCATATCTTTTATTATCAACGTTTTTAATGAAACTTACTTGCCCAAAAAATTTGAAAACGGTAAAGACGTAAATATCATAAATACTGATTAGAGCCTCTAAAACTCCTGTGAAAATAAAAAAAAAGTAAAGTAAATCAAAAAAATTAATGGTCAATAAAAAACAGTAAAACTTAAAATATGTTTTATAATCAGCCAATTGTTTACTTAGTTGAGTATTTTAAGATCTATTATTGGTTCTTTTACTTAGGTTAAAATTTTCACAGTATTTTATGCACCGAAAGTATTAACTATTTTTCGCTTTTTTATAAAAGCACAAAATATAATGAATAATAAACATTAAAAGCAATTTTTTAGTATTTAAAATAAATTATTATGAATTTTTAAAAACACAAAAACAATGAGAGTTAAATTGAGATAAATAATAGCGAAAGCTAATTAAAGTAAATGAAAATAATGAAAAGTATATAATAATAAACTTATTATAGTGATTAGCATTAAAAAAAATTAATTCATAAAAAAAAATATAATAATGCGAAGTAAAATGAATATTTATTTCATTATTTTTAATAACGAATAAAAATATTTCTCAATTTTTTTATAAATATAAAAATAATAACGTTAAGGAAAATGAAAATACGGAAAATTTTTACATTACCATAATAAATAACAAAACTTTATATAACTAGTAATATAAAAAAAATATTTTATTAATATTATAGAAATATAGATAAAGAATATAGAAACTTTTTAAAAGCATTGTAATCAAAATAAAATAAAACGTTTTCATTATTATTACAAAAAATATATATCTATGAATAATATGTGTTTATGAATAGTATAGAAAAATAAAAAAAAAACTTTTTACATTATTATAATGAAAAAATAAAAGTTTTCATAATTTTAAAAGAAAAGTAAATATTTTCATGAATGTTATATAAAAAAAAGAAGGGAGCAGAAAAACCTTTCGAAATATCAGGAAAAACATAAATAACTTTCAAATAAGTTCCAATAAGTTTTGCAATACTTATAGTGACTGGCGTAATTACTTTGCTTTTTGCTTTGCTTTGCAAAAAAGTTTAATAAAAATAATAAAAAAATAAAAAAAACGAAAGTTAGTATTAAAATATTTCTCAATTTTTTTTGAAGTTTTTATAATATTCTATGTATCAAAAAGTTACGATTACAGGTGAAAAGTAGATTTCTTTACGCTATAAAAACTATGAAATATGGAATACTTAAATAAATAAGTTCTCATAATATTTTATTTAAAAAAAAAAGTTACAGTTGTTAGTAAGAAAAAATCTTTTTATATTGAATAATATGCATATATAAATAAAAAATAATAATCACAAAAATATAAGTTCATAAATCTTTATGTAAAAAAAGTTAGTCGTTAGTGAAAAGTAAACTTTTTTTAACTCTTACTAAAAAATAAAATTATTCAAAAATATTTTATAAAAACAAGTATTCATAGTTCCTGTAAAAAAAGTTAAAGTTACGTTTGTTGGTGGGAAGTAAACTTTTGCAAAACATTATTGTTAAGACTTTCATTAATCACCGAAAATAAAGAGCTTAAAAAAGGATCCTGATTAGCGGATAAAAATATGTTAGTAACTATTATGGACACAGCCAATAAAAAAATTACTGGTAAAAAGTGTTAAAAAAAATGTTAAAGGCTCTTTATTTTTTTATAAATTATTAATTGGTAATAGAAACTTTTTTTATAATAATGATAATCATAATAAATATTGTGATAAACAAAATTTAATTAAATTCTATAGGTAGCGCTACATTTTTCATTAAAAAAAAGTCTAACGGAGAATTTTTTTTTATAAAAAGATAATTTTTTTAAAGATTGTTATTGGGTGAATTTGAAAATTTTTTTATAATATTGTAGTTAATAAAATTTTAATAAATATTTGATTTTCTATTGGGGTAGTACAACAGTGGCGGTACAGTCTTTTTATGAAAGTTAAATTTCACTATTCAATCAGTGATTTTTAAATATTAATATTTATTCATAATAAAATTATAATCGACAAAATTTTATAAAATATTTTAGTTTCTACTGGGTATCACTACTGTTGGTCAAGAAAAATTTTAGAAAAGGAAAACTCTGTGAAGATATTTTATAAATTTTAGATATAGAATTATACTTATTAAAAAATATTGATTTAGAATTAATTTTGTAATAAGAAAATATATCATTTCTGTTGGTATCACTACAATGCCGGTACCATAAAAATAAAGAAAAAGCCTGATAAATTCTATTTTTTAAATGAAATTTTTTTTTTCATTAGAATATAAAAAAAGTTATTTGAAAAATAAAAATTTTAATAATTTTTCTCAAAAACCCTGATAATAGCTGCACCAATAGTATTTTACCAATAAAAATTAACCAATTGATAAGCATGCAGTGATAAATTTTAAGCGCCTTTATCGTATAATTTTATATTAAATAATAAACCATAATTTATAATGAACTTTTTTAAATCAACTAATTCAAAAAAATAAAGAATTATCTTATCATAAATCTAACTTTAAAAGGATTATTAAAGTTTTCAAAAATGGCGGTCAATATACTTCTTTGGTTTTCCTTTGCTGTTATATATTACATTATTGTTATTGTTATTGTTATTATTACTATTATTTTACCTTCTTTATTAATACTTTTCACAAAAGAAAACTCCCGGAAGCTAAAGAAGTCAAAGTTTTCATACACGGGTAGAGAATGCCACGCTTCTGCTTCAAGCATGGCCTTGATATCCTGCACCGCTCAGAGTTGTTGTTCAATTTTTTTAATGAATTTTTTATATAAAAAAATTACTTCCACTTTTGACTTGTGAAAGTCATTAAAAAAAGTTTGAGCTTTTTCACTGATCAACTCAAAAAGCTGGTGAGAATGGCAGGAACTAAAAAGTTCTCCAAAAAAAACAAATATTTGAAGATGCTCAAAAGTCTAATGGAATAAAATTTTTATTTATGAAAGTAAATTTTTCTTTTCTAAAAAATTTTTTTACTAATAATTGAAGCATAAAAATAAGTGGCCAATAATATTTAATATAAAACGTAATGTATTCACTAACTTGTTATTCATTTTTAATAAATATAAAAAAACCAGTAAATATTTTTTAAAAAAGTATATTTTATAATAATAACTTTTTTTTTATTGTAAATTTATAGAAAAAAAGAATTATAATACTACAGTATATAAAAGTTTTAAAAATAATGAACAGAAAAATGTATATTTTATACATAAAAATATTACAAGAATAGCAAAGTTTTATCTAAAATTATTTATAGTTTAAAAAAGTAACAGAATAATAATAAGTACGTAAAAAAATACAAAATATGTGAAAAGTTATTTTTAACAAGTCAAGTATTACAATGAATATTTTCCAACCAATAAAAACAAGCACCAGTAACGATTCATTTTACTTTAAAATGTTATCATGCAGTATAAAAATGTAACGTAAAACTATAATAATATAAACATTTTTTCTGAGAAAAGAAAACAATGCAGTGAACATATAGACATTTCTAGATAAAAATATTGGCCAATAAGAAGCTCTTAAAAATGTTCACATAAACGACTATAAAAATATTGAAGATAATAATTACTTCAATAAAGTCTTCTAACATTACTGGAACCTTCAGCAAATTTTCGGAAAGAGCATTGCTCACATGCCTTTAGCCAATCAAAAATGGAATAAATAATAAACTATTTTTATATAAAAAATTTTATATGATACAATTTTTAAGTACAAATATTATATATTTTTTAATGATTTGAAGTAAATTCATTAAATTTGTTAACTTTTACTATTTAATAATCGTTAAAAGTTTATTTATTATTATTAAAAGTATCACAATAAGAAAAAAAAGAATAAATCTAAAAATTAAAAAAATAAAAAAAAGACTTTTTCACTTTAAAATATTTCAAAAAGAGAATAAATGTACAAGTTATTCATAATTATTATAAATAACATAACAATAAACTTTTTCTAATAAATTTTTTTAAAGCATAAAAAAGATCGAAAAAAGCTTTTAGATAATTCTGAATAAACCATTGAATTCCTTCCCACATTCGTATTTTTTCTTGAGATATTAAAGTTTCCGGTTCTTCACATTTTCTAGTGAAGCCGTATATTAATGAAAAAAAGGCGGCACAACTTTATAAATATTAATTATAATTAAAATTTATACTAAGGAAAAATTTAGTTTTTAAAATTAATAATTTTAGTGAAATTTTTTTCCTCAGTGGGGTCCAATAATTTATTATAAAAGTAAGAGCAAAAAAATAATGAATATTGTAGGATTGTTGGAAAAGTTATTAACTTCATTGAACGAAGTATACAGTGAATATTTTAATAAAGCGCCAATCAAACCGACAGTCGTCAATTAGGCTAACCAATTAAATAGTAGTATTATACAAAAAGTTGTTTGATTGGTTGAATAATAATAAACACAGTACATAAAAAAAACTTTATAGTAATAAAATTTTCATTACTAACTCTTTAGGAAAATCTTTGTATATTTTACGAATCAACTTTGAGTATTTAGTAAAAGAGAGTCGCAAGGAGTTTATTTCTTCACAATAATTCTTGCATAACGTCACTACGCTCTTAAAAATATGATATAAATTAATAATCTTCACTGCAAAACATATATCTTTTTTTATCGACTTAAAATTATCCAATAGAAAACTAAAATAATTGGACGCGCTATAGATAACTTGATGCCATTCATATGACGTGGGTCCCAATAAAAAGTTTTGATGGGCATGCTTAGCTAAATCTTCAACCCTTCACAATAATTATGGGATAGCAATGGAACGTTCTGGAAAAAGTTGTACCTGCTGAAGTACACTTTGCATATGTCACTCGGAATTTCGTCTAGTCTGTCTTTTATATTCATATTTATTATTATTATTATTATTATTATTTTTAATTATTATTATTATTATTATTATTATTATTACTAAGCACATCCAACATTCTTAAAGTTTCTGCCATTTCACAGCAGTGCGCATTTTCAAAAACACTCAAAGCATTAAAATTATAATAATATTATTATAACCAGTAAAATCGCTTAAAAAACTCACCCACTAATTAATGCACTTTTTAATCGTTGAGCAAATGTACTAATTGAAGAAGAAATATTGGCCCTTAATGGTTGCAAACATATAACATCTACACCACTCATTACTGGCAGTTAAAACTGTGCCCAATAGAAACACAAATAAAGGACCTGTCATGTTAGAAAGTTTTTCTTCTAGCGATTGGTAGATTTCAATTACTTTTGCATAATTTTTTTTATACAAATACTCTGACGGAAAGTAAAAAGATTATTTTATAATAGACTTTTACTTAAACTTTACCCTTAAAACCGTTGCCGCTTTGTAGCATATTTTTTATGGATTCCATCATCTCACAAATATTATTAAAAGTTAAAAATGTATATAAAAAGTTATGCTACGCATATCAGAGGCAAAAAAAATTCCAAAATTTCATTAAAATTATAGTTATAACACTTTAATTGCATTGGCTAAATGGACTTTGCGGCGATAATAAGCGAGAAGCCTCAACGACGTTGCGCAACAGCCGCCAGCGAACTATAAAATAATGAGTTGTGCGTGAACGAAAAGTAAAAGTTTGTAAACATGAAAGGTTTAAAAGAAAGTTTTATACATAAAATATAAATATAAAAAATTAAAATTTTAGTATTGAAAATGATATTAATAAACTTATTATTATTTACTTTTTAATAAAAAAATATATTAAAACTAAAAAGTAAACCGATGATAGCCGCATTCTAATGGAAACGCATAAAGAAGAAGAAACTTGAAGCTGCTGCTTTATGGCCTGCACGCGGTGGAGTTCAGCAACTTTATTTAATTTTAGCAGATTATAAAAACTTTTTTATTTTTTTATATTATTATAAAAGTAAATAAAAAATGTACAAAACATAAAAAATAATAAATCTGTATAAAATAAAACTTTTAATTTTAAAAATTTTAGAAAAACTATTATTAATATATTACTATTATTCTTTCGGATTTATTATAAATATACATGTTAGTAACAAGTCAAACCAATTTTTTTTTGATGCAGAGCTATGGCTTTATTATGAGTTCTATGATAAAAAAAAGTTAAAACTTCACATTTATTTATATAAATTTACTGTATTAGTTTAATAATATTATTGCACAGTTAAAGAAAAATATATTTATCTGGAATTTATGGAATTGTATGAAAGTAAAAAATGATTTCTTAAATATAAAATAGTTCTAATTTAAGGATTTTATGTCTGTATATGTACGATATTTCAAAGAGAATTAAAAAGTGAAAAAAAAGATTAAAAAAAAAAAGGATAACTTCAAAATATTAAAAAAATAAAACCTATCCACAGCTTCAAGAACAAATTGATAATAAGATTTTATTTCGTTAAGCACTTTAAGTGTGAAATCTACAGGAAGTTCCTGGAAAATATAATAATTTTTTTAAAAAGTTTTAATATTTTCTCTTTTCAGTAGATGACCTTAAAAATATCGTCGAAGGCATTATATTCACTGGAAAACCACTTCGATTCTAACGAGTTTACGATCTAAAATCTCGAATTATTTACAAAAGTCACTTTTACGCGCTTAAAAATTAAAACTCTACCGCATCATCTGATTCGGTTTCAATAAGCTTTCTCTCTTGAGGAGAAAATTCTGCTTCTATTGTCCTTAGAATTGCAGTTACCAAATGAAGGATATATTTAACTCGTACTTTCGGTTAAGAATTTGTTTATAATACTTTACAGCTGTAAAAGGATCTCCTTCTCTTTTTACTGCCGTAACCAAAGGACGAAAGCTCAAAAGTTTCCAGTTTACAATATACTAAAGGAATTATTTATTTATAAAAATAAATTAAGTCTTTCATAAAACATTTTAGGCTACTTTCCAAGTTTTTAATATTAATTAATAGCCACTTAAATAGTATTGAATTATCTCAAACCTACAATAAGTTTTGCTCTACTTTAGTCTGTTAGCTGTAGATGCAAAAGCTAAGAAGTAGAGAAGGTAAATTGCTCACTGGGTAGAAATTTTTAAAACACTTATCTATCCGTTTATATATATAAAAGTTGTATGTTTAAAATATACAGATCGTTTAGGAAAAGTTTTAAAGCAGGTTTTAATATGAGAAGGAGAGGCTTACCTACCATTTTTAAATTTTGAAACAAATCATTAGCGTTTCAAATTTATTACCAACTAGAAGGCGTTCATTTTAGTCTGAAGGGGTATTAAAAAATACACTAACACTAATATATACGCAAACAACGTAAAAATACACTCAAACAAAAGTGAACGACGCAAAAGTAATAATCTTTAAAAAAATTAAACTTATATTTTTAAATATACAATTTTGAATTAAAACACAAACTATGTTAACCGAGTATAATGATGTTAAAGTAACCGGATTAAGAATTTAATCTAAACAAAACATACATAAATGGAAATGCCATTTTAACCTTTTAGAAAGGTATACAAATGTCTTGATTGCCTATAGTAAAAGTTACTCCCGTTCTTTTTGTTCTCCCCCTCTCCATTGTTGGTGTTGTTACAGTTTGGTAATAATTGTGGTTCTTAAGTTTTATCTTAAAAGTGAGTCTAAGAATCAGATCGGATACTAGGCACAGCTTGCTGAGCAGCGCAAAATACTTATATACATTGGTTACGTACAATTTAAGTCTATAGCAAAAGGTAAACTTAGCTAGACCGTACTCTTAAATATATAGTAACATCAAGACAATTGTATTAAATAGTGTTGTAATCCCAAGTAAAAAATTAATAATTAATTACTTGGACCAACTTCCAATGACTAAGTTCTTTAGTTACACTAACAGCTCTGGGAGGGATAGTGCACGAACCATCACCCGTTCTACGACTCAGATATGATCTTTGCTTTCATTCTTCCCTACTCGCACATAAAGACACAAGCGTAGAACTTAGCTACACTTATAGGTCATAGCACAGACAGGATTTGATAGGTCTGCTTGTTCGCCTCTAAGGAGAGAAGACTTCTACAGCCGATGCCCAGTATATTACGCCCAAACTGCCAACTAAGAAGGATAAGGGCGAAAGGTGATCAACCCAGCCGCATTTCTAGTTCGAAAGCTACAAAGGCTAGTCACTGAGGCTATACGAGCCTACTTAGTAAACACGTACATAGGAGTTAGTCGGCTAGTTACTACCAGTAACTTACACCCCGGGACACCAGGAAGAGAACAATTGCCTATGGGACTAAGCCAATACGAAGGATAAACCTACATTCGCCCGCCATTCCACCTCGGGACGGCAACCAATCAGCAACACTAGACCGAGGCCATCATGAAGCCTCAAGGGTTATCACGTGGGCCGGTCGCATATTTCCCTATTAGACCGATCCTTGATCTTATCGAAAAAGAGGGTCAACTTCCCAGTTAAAGTAGTAGCAGGATCGTAGAGTAGGACCTTTAGAGCCAGCAGATGACTGTTGAAAGCGCGATAAGATTACCTCACGGTTCGCTGCTGGGATAGGGCTGTCCCCAATGAAGCGGGACTATGGTACCTCTTTTTATCAAGCTCCGGCTTAGGGTCAACATGCACCGCGGAGAGTTATTGGTAACGAGTCTTAAGGTCAGTTATAAAATATAAAGCATTTGATAGAGAAGTCCATTTGTGTAGATTCATCGTATCGTAGGCTCAGAGTAGGTGATATTCTGGTTATAATTGAAAACTGAGGTCGTGTACGATTCAAATGGCTAGCTTGGCATGGTTATTTATGACTTATTGGCCACTAAAATAGTTCACATTCTATGGTACAAATGGCGGGAGAGTTATAGAGTACCATAACGCCCGCCTGTACGGGCACCCTTCAAACTGATCTAAAAAATTGTCTAAAGGTCAAAAAGAGATCTGATATAAGTGCTTTCAAGCTAATTTAACTGGGCTAAAGGAGTGCTACTTTTAAGTTAAGTAAACAACTCAAGCATTGTGCTGCACGGCTAATAATTAAAAGCGGAAGAGTTATAAATAAGGTTGAGGATAACCTATCTCAACCTGTTTAGCCTTGGGTAGAATCTTAGTGTAATTGGCTAGGTTCTGTCCATTATTTTAGTGTCAGAACACACGCAAAACTAGCTTAAACAATACGATTTTAAACTCAATTATAAACATTTTAAAGCAATTTCAAACAAATTTAAGTAAATGAAAGTAAACAAAAGTAAATAAACAATAACTAGTCGAGGACCTTTTTTATATCTCTCTCAAGATGGTTTAAAGCTTAATGTATATTAAAGTTTTGACAATTCTGAGCTGGGCCTTGGAAGGTACCATAATCTTAATGCTTCCCTGTAACGGTGTATCATTTTTATTATTATTATTTAAATAGAACCCTAATGAAGGGTAGGGGGCGAGGGCGACACAGCCCGATGCAAGAGTAGTTTACTTTAAAAAAATATCATTCAACTCGCGGGTGGCTTCAGAGTCAACACTAGCGCTTAAATAAAGTTTCTAAATCTGTATAAAATATTTAGTAAACCACTTAGTTGTTCTCTGGACTACTAAGCTATTCAATAACTTCAGCTATTACACTCCCTGAACGTTTTATTGTAGCCCTTTAGACTAAAACTATAACCCTAATAATAATCGCTTTTCTTCTAGACCCACGTAAAACTTTAACACGAAAGAAGCGTAATAACCGAAAAAGAAAGAAAGGAAGGGGGAGCAAAAAAATGGACAAACCAACCATGTGTTTCATTAAAAAATATATATATATATAACATACATATTGTCCAATATGTTATGAAAGGTTATGAAAGGTACCTAATAAAATATATAGTTACCCTCCATATATCAAATTATAAATCCGTGCTGTAAGGTGATTAAATTTTAAAAAACTAGATCGAAACCATCGTGAAGCCGCAGGGAATAATTGACGCTTAACGCGATAATTTGATATGGGCTCGAACTCTTCGTGTGCTAACGCTAGCAACCTAGGGACAAAAAACAAATCCTTACTTCGCTAAAGAATGTACTTCATGGCACGAAAGCAGCTAGTTAGTGCTAACAGCCGAAGGCATTAACGAGCGCCAAGTCCAGCTATTAACAGGCCAACCTGACCCTTGCCAAACTTAGATCTTTAAATTTAATTCTGTGTTATATTTTAACTGCTAAACGAAGAAGCTAGTTCAAACCTAGCGAACACCTTGGTACTTGTTTAGTGCTTTTTACCCATAAAAACGCAAAAACTTTTAACTAAGAATGTGTTATCATTCTCTGGACAAAGGCACTTTTTTACCCTCAGAGAAAGTAATTTTCAGTAATTAAGCTCTGCAAAAACAAATAAAGAGAATGGTATTTTGGTTGCCTTTTCCTTACTTGCTCAAGTCCTGCAAGCTTTATGTACTTTAATATCATACTATCTTAACCTTTTTAGCGGAGATTCGCAAGCAACCTTTTCTTACTTTGACCATCGCGAGGTACGCGTCGGCGATCCTCTAAAGATACTTCAAAATGTCAGCTGGCGCAGGTGGGCTTCGTGGCGGGGAGACCAGGCGCTGTTTTGGGCCTTTGACTGTTGACTATATTTTGGAGCCTTCGTAATAGTTTGTACTCTCTGGTGGAGCGAGGATTGCTTTTTGTTCTTAGGCTACTAGAGTAAAGCGCACGAAAAAGATCGACCCTATAGAAAAAGATGCGTTTGACCTCTGCGTTGTTCCTTGAGGCTTCACGAGGGCTGCGGGCCTAGTGTTGACGGTTGGCTCCCACCTGGAGGCGGATTACAAGGCAAATGCAAGAATACCTATGGTGCCATCCTGATTAAAAAGTAAAGATTATAACGTGGTTATGGCACCTTCCCTCTTTTAAGAGCAAATCCTTAGACCCGAGTTGAATTGGGACTTAGAACCCTCCGAAGTACATAATAACTTAGAGTTCAGAGCTTGGCAAAGTAAGATACCATAATCACGGTTCTAAAGATATAAGTGAGTTTAAGTGCCAAATCAGATACTAGCCATAACTGGGAAATTTTGCAGCTTATAGGGTTCACTGAGACACCACCAAAGAACCCGCTGAACAGTAGCGGGTGACGTGATCGAAGTTCAAGATTAATCTACATTCATCTTACATTCCACCCCCCTATAGAACTTTCTTGACCACCTACGATCGTAAACCCACGGGAAGACTGCACAGACTAAGATTGTGTTGGGCACGTAAGGTGTATAAGGTCGATTCCTTTCGGCCGCCATACGACATGCACCTGGAGACCAAAAGCAATACTTACATTTATAAAGAGTGTAAATTGGGCGATAGTTATAAGGTTATAATATAAGATAGAAGTTACTCACAGCCCAATGTAGGACGCGCGATAAGCTCTCGCACTAAGGGATAATAAAGATAAGAGGATACAGCCATGCGTGCAGGAACAAACTCGTGCATTGACACGGCAGTACGGGCGTATATTTCATAGACGTCTGATGAAAACCTTCATATGAGAAAATTACACCTTTGAGAGGTAAAAGAGTATTGTTACCCAGAGTTGTTAAGTATTTTTATAGAAGTTAACAGGGCACAACCCTTTGCTATTAACCAATTTACCCATTAATACGCTTTAGATGTTTATAAAGTGAAGTAAAGGTAGAGCGCTATCTAGTTGTCCGCCCTACAGCAACCTCCGGTTGTCCAAAGACTCATAAGAGTAGAATTTAAGTACTCCGCTATAAAATTCAACCGCAGATAGAATAATCACTAGTATATTACTGTTAAGACGGTACTAATTAGCACTTACTTAATTTGGAGCCGGAGAACCTATAGAAAATACTGACAACTGT